AAGCGAGACCGTCGCTCTACCGTCCAGCCCAAGTAGTTGGGCAATATAATGAAGATAGATGGAGTGTGAATTTCACTTTGCCTCAAGTCTACGAGATTTTATTGATGGTCCCGGAATATTCTTGCCCTCAGGCTTCTCAAAGGTGAAGGCCTCTCTGTGGCTCGTTGTTACCAGGCAGGAGATAATTTTATCCACGTTTATGTTTTTGACTCCTTTATCTTCCCTCTTTAAATGGTGCGGTTGTGGAAGAACTAAAACTATCCTCTCTAAGTCAGAGACGCCTGTGTCTCAAGTAAGTTTATCGAAAAAAGGAAGTACATCTCAAAAATGATAAAGTAGCTTAGGCTATTTCTACCCTCATCTATATAATGTCCCTCAAGGGGCTCACAAACCCATACAGTACACAATTATTAATCATATTCTACATTTCACATTCCAATGGTAATCACATGTCATACTGTGAGATTTATTGATTATGCTGTCCCTGTCATTTCTTGTTTTAGTGACGGCAAACTAAATAATTTGGTGAAGACAAAAATGAGAATAGTCCCAAGATTATTTTCATGGTCCAAGTAATATTATTACTGAGATAATGATGATATGATTGAACATACAGAGTATTGGGGGATATAATTTCAGAGATAAATGAAGCTTCGGCGATTAGACTAATGAACGGCGAGGTAGCTAATGAAATAATAATATAATGAATTAATTATGAGGATTAATAATGAATTAATCCTATCACTTCAGAAGGTGATACAGTCTCCGTGGTGCAGTGGTAAGACACTCGCCTGGCGTTCCGCGAGCGCTATGTCATGGGTTCGTATCCTGGCCGGGGAGGATTTACTGGGCGCAAATCCTTAACTGTAGCCTCTGTTTAACTCAACAGTAAAATGTGTACTTGGATGTAACAACGATTCTTCGCGGCAGGGGATCGTATTCCAGGGACCTGCCCGAAACGCTACGCGTACTAGTGGCTGTACAAGAATGTAACAACTCTTGTATATATCTCAAAAAAACAAAAAAAAAAAAAAAAAAAAAAAGGTGGTAAGAAATGAACAATGTATGTGAAAGCATAATAAGATCCTAATGTTCTAATGTTACAAAGCATGATGTCCTTCAAGAATGTATTTCATTGCCAAAGAAACACTTAACACCAACATGGGAGGAATATAAAGTAGACGCAGTGATTTCCCTCTATATTCCCAGACTCTTAACTTTGCCAATTCATTGATAATCGACATCGCCTTGTCCATAGCCTCCCCACATTTTAAGTCATTGGGAAGGAATATTGCTTTAGTCAGAGACTCCCAACAGAGGAGGGGATCCGCACAAATTATAGAAGGCCGAGTTGACATGGCCGTGCTGTCCGTGACGGAGTCCGTTGTTGACGGGTCCTTGATTTTCTCCTGTCTGCGGGGGCAGCGGTAGGAAATTGGTGAGTGCTTGCCATTGCAGAGCAGGCAGAAATGGGTTTTTGCTTTGCAGATGGAGTAATGATGATCCAGGACGCACAGGCTGCACTTCTGGACGGGGTGCTGACACTTGGTGAGGTGGGAGAGCTCGTAGCACTCTGGAGCACTGTTGGAGCTCGTGATATCGTTCCTTTTTGTTTTAACTTGATGGTATCTTGATGCCGTAACAGTAGAGACATTGTGTGGCAGCCAGGGTGGCCGCAGCTAAGGAGGAGAAAGATATCTTCATTGTTGCTTTATCAGCGGTGGGGAACCTAGCGCCGAATACTCCCAGGTTCGCGTTTCGTTTTCGATACTGGTAATAATATCCTCATCATCTCGGTCAGTAATCCATTGGCTGGTCCTGCTGGTAAAAACCGTTCTTTCGGCTAGGAACTGACTTGGGGATTGGGGGAAGGAGGTGGTGATTTAGGCGAAGAACGAGATCAAAGGTTTGGAGTTTTTCCAGGTCCTTCCCACATGAGAAGTAAAGCACAATATCCACATGTCAATGGGTGTGATGCCGGCCACGTCCTTGAGGATCTTCAGGATGTCACTTTTTCCAAAAGAATGACCGTAGCCCTAACTTTTAAGCGTTTGGGCCGCATTTTGTCCACCCTTAACGAGTCGAAGTGGCAACGGATGTCTTTGGAGGGTGGTTCAGGCTGTCTGGTACTTTACCCTGGTAATGCTCATTACATAAGGAGGCCTTCCATCTACTCCCGGGTATACTCGAGAAGACAGTGGGGTTATGTCTCAGATCTGTGTCTCTCAGAGACGTATTGACAAAACTTTCTATAGTTTGGTAATTTATCCTCAAATCAAATTAATCTAAGAATAAACAATATCCAAATTAGTAATAGAGTAGATGGCAAATTCCTTGGTGTTCTCATCGATAACAACCAGGTTCCCATTTTACTGTTGGGTAAACAGAGGCTAAACATTATATAATGTTTGGGTAAACATTATAAATTTGTACAAAGCTTAATTAGAGTCCAAGAGAGGTGCAGCTGGAAGTAATTGTCTTTACAAACAACAGATGGCGGCGTTTTAGTGTTATGTGGCAAGTCTTCCAGCAGTATTCTATAATACTAATAATAATAATAATTTATTTAGGTAAAAGGTCATATATATAACATTAATTAAACGCAGAATGTTAGATTTCTAGATAGAGCTAGTAATATACTATGTTTAAAGACAATAATATATATATATACTATTTGTATTTACAGCGTTTCGGGCAAATCAGGGTTGCCAGATTGGGCTACTAGTAGCGAATTGGGCTACTTTTGAGAGCCCCACGCTCCCAAATTTTTAATTTCGCTACTTGCGACTTTTTTGGGCTAGTTTAAACGCAAGTTGGGCTACTTTGGGATATTAATATTAAGAAACTCAATGATGATTATTTATGCTTTAATAATATAATCTGTACAAATCACAGCCGAGTCCAACAGCCTGATTGAGTAGACCACTTACCGCAGGAGAGCCCTGGTCAGAGACCGGCCCCTGGGGACGTTGATCCTAGGAACCTTTGAAAGAAAAAGTAACCGCAAGGCAAGGTAATCCTCCCCAGGGGCAATAGATTTCCCAACCTTAATTGTTAATAATACTTCATCCCAAAAGCTACACTTGGTTCCACAGATCTTCATTAAGAGGAGAAAGTTATCTAGAAATTTACAGATTGATAAATGACGGGAAAGATCCCTTACAGTTAATACCTTTGTCAGGAAGACGATGGTTGGCAAGGAGCGGTAGTGTATAGCGGCCGTTTGATCAGTGGGGTTCTCTAACAACTCATTACCAAATAGCTTTTTCCTCTTGTGATAAATATGTTGCAAGGCAACTATTTTCAATGTACGCTAATCCCTCCAATAAGCTATATTTCACATGTCTCAAACCAATCCTAAATGATTTTGAAAGGATGAATTTACTTTATCAAAAGATGAAGCAGATCAGTATAGCCTTCACACTGTCTTAGAAAACTTCACTCTTGGAATACTCAGAAGAATCGTGCATCCTCATCATGTGGGCCATTTCTGGGCCTGTACCTGGGCCATTTCTGGGCCTGTACCCGGGCCCTTTCTGGGCCTGTACCCGGGCCCTTTCTGGGCCTGTACCCGGGCCCTTTCTGGGCCTGTACCCGGGCCCTTTCTGGGCCTGTACCCGGGCCCTTTCGTGGCCTGTACCCGGGCCCTTTCTGGGCCTGTACCCGGGCCCTTTCTGGGCCTGTACCCGGGCCCTTTCTGGGCCTGTACCCGGGCCCTTTCTGGGCCTGTACCCGGGCCCCTTCTGGGCCTGTACCCGGGCCCTTTCTGGGCCTGTACCCGGGCCCTTTCTGGGCCTGTACCCGGGCCCTTTCTCTGCCTGTACCCGGGCCATTTCTGGGCCTGTACCCGGGCCATTTCCGGTCCTGTACCCGGGCCATTTCTGGGCCTGAACCCGGGCCATTTCCAGCCCTGTACCCGGGCCCTTTCTGGGCCTGTACCCGGGCCCTTTCCGGGCCTGTACCCGGGCCATTTCTGGGCCTGTACCCGGGCCCTTTCTGGGCCTGTACCCGGGCCCTTTCTGGGCCTGTACCCGGGCCCTTTCTTTCATGTTAATTTGGACTACAATTCTATGTGTCTGCCCCTGGAGAAAGTTGACTTTGGTTACGAATTTTCAACACTTCTGGCCACTAACAGACAAAACAATTTTACAACCCAGGAAAAGTTTCAAAATGTTCAAGAAAGATGCGATAATTTTTTAATGAAAGCTTGCAAATAGCTTCTTTCTCGTATTCTAAGTAATGTTGAAACTATAAAAGAAGGTGAAAAATCTGTTACCTATCATATGCCTTAGCTTACATGGCCACCATTTTCGGAACTTCCGTTAGTATTAGCTGACCAATCTAAGCTTAGTGAAATTGAAAGTCAGTGGCGCCTACTGTTAACCATTGACTAGTCCAACATTTGTAAGGGATAAATTCCGACATCTGAATCGTCATTTTAGACCAAGACAATAACTGTCAAGAACACTGCTGGCGATCCCATACTGATTGACCTCGCTGAGTTTGTATTGAAAATATACAGCTTGCCGATCAGTAATGACCTGGTTGAACGGATATTTTCGAGAGTAACGTCTGTGAAAACTAAACTGAGAAATCTTGAATGGGAATGGGACTTGTGCTTTTGACATCAGTCTTGAGAATCAAAACATATCTTGAAGAAAATGTAACTTGTTGCTCGTCATTTGAACCACTCATGTCAATGCTTAAATATGAGTCTGCAATATACAAGAACGAGGTTGTGGATGCAGATCAAGATCTTGGTAATCTTCAACTGTAAAGACGTGGAAGGACTTCACACCCATTAAGCTTCAAACAGTAAATATTGGTAAGTTATCCTATTATCATATTGGTTAAATATATATATATGCAGAGATAATGTTAATAAAACAATTAAAATCGTTTAATGTACTCTATATATCATAATAGATTACTTTGAAACCCGTATCAGTCACGAAACAAAAAACTGGGCTACTCTTATTACAAACTCGCTACTTTTAGACCGTCAGCTCGCTACTCTTAGCAATTTGTATCTGGCAACCCTGGGGCAAATACAAATGGCGAATAGTTTGTATTGTTGCAGCTGAAGCATTCAGGCCCCTTTTGTTGTGTTGTTTGATGGTCTGTAGCGGAAAGTAGCCGTGTGTGAGTGTTATAGTAACTGTGTGGACGACGAGGGAGAAGGGTGGCCGTGTGGCAGAGGTGAGGGTGTGGCTGGAGGTTAGTGTGTGGCTGGAGCAGCGCCTGGAGGATAGTGTGGCTGGAGCAGCACCTGGAGGATAGTGTGGCTGGAGCAGCGCCTGGAGGATAGTGTGGCTGGAGCAGCACCTGGAGGATAGTGTGGCTGGAGCAGCATCTGGAGGATAGTGTGGCTGGAGCAGCGCCTGGAGGATAGTGTGGCTGGAGCAGCACCTGGAGGATAGTGTGGCTGGAGCAGCGCCTGGAGGATAGTGTGGCTGGAGCAGCACCTGGAGGATAGTGTGGCTGGAACAGCGCCTGGAGGATAGTGTGGCTGGAGCAGCACCTGGAGGATAGTGTGGCTGGAGCAGCATCTGGAGGATAGTGTGGCTGGAGCAGCGCCTGGAGGATAGTGTGGCTGGAGCAGCGCCTGGAGGATAGTGTGGCTGGAGCAGCGCCTGGAGGATAGTGTGGCTGGAGCAGCGCCTGGAGGATAGTGTGGCTGGAGCAGCGCCTGGAGGATAGTGTGGCTGGAGCAGCACCTGGAGGATAGTGTGGCAAGAGCAGCATCTGGAGGATAGTGTGGCTGGAGCAGCACCTGGAGGCCCCACACCATGCCTAAGGTCCGCCGGAGCAGGAAGCCGCCCCCGGAGGGCTGGGAGCTGATCGAGCCCACTCTGGAGGAGCTGGACCAGAAGATGCGGGAGGGTAAGTACGAGAGTTGATTTGTTGATTTGGAATGAAAAGAAACTCCTTTTCATTCCACACATTTGCTTTCACCTGCTTCCTCTGTTCACCTAGTAGCAAATGGGTAACTGTTCTGGGGTTGCATCCTTTGACATTGTTAGGAGGGGGGGGGGGGGATTTCAATATAAGCCTAAAGAAAATATATATTATCAGGCTTTCTGTCCCCAATAAAATTAATTATTGGTATACAGTATACTCAATTATGCCAGTAGTTTCCAAAATGGTCCCAAGGGTTAAACTGATGTCATCACACACCTCTTGTAGTATTTATAAAATACAAAATTTTTGTTTTTCATTTGGATATACAGTATTAGGTTAAGATGGTGTATATAGTCAAATCGTACAAAGATCTTTAGAGCTGTATATATATATTTTGTTAGGTTAGGCTTTATAATGCATGGTTGAGATTGGTTAGGTTAGTTTATGACAGGTTAGGATGGGTTAGGTAGGTCTCATGTTTATGTATACTGTATATGATGTGACTTGTATCTATAACTTTTGGCACTTTTCAAACTCTACTCTGCTAAAACTACATGAAAGATGCCATTCGCTCCTGTTTTACAATACTGTACAATTATTTTCATGCATTTATAGTACTGTACCGAGATTTAATGACACTTTTTTTTATGTTTAGCGGAGACTGAGTCACATGAGGGAAAGCGAAAAGTGGAATCTTTATGGCCAATATTTCGCATTCATCACCAACGCTCCCGTTACATCTATGATCTTTTTTATAGAAGAAAAGCTATCAGTCGGGGTAAGAAATGATTTTGAAGCATTATTGTATTTATTGTATAATTGTTTCTTCTGAATAGAACTAAATTTAGCATGCTGTTAGTAAAAATCATGCAGTCTACAAAAATAAAAAAAAAAATTAAGTACAGTAGTGTTAAGTGCAGTGTAGTGTTAATTTAACAATTATAGGATAGTTCTGCTTGTTTTACAAGCAAATTATATTCTATATTTGTAAAATTAATAAAGGCTAAAGTCTTAATAATGGCTTAATGAATCAACCTTTAAGCAGTTCATGTATTTACCTTGGTAGGACTTTACCTATAATAATCTCAAGTCTTGTTATATTAACACCATAGTTATTGCAAAATAAAAATGTTGTAAATGTATTCTTCATAATGTAAAGGAAATAATCCCTCCGTTCTTACATTGCAGAATTATATGATTATTGCCTTAAAGAGAAAATTGCTGATCAGAACCTCATTGCGAAGTGGCGCAAGCAGGGTTACGAGAACCTGTGCTGCCTTCGCTGCATCCAGGCCCGAGACACAAATTTTGGCACCAATTGCGTGTGCAGAGTTCCAAAAAGCAAACTTGAAGAGGTATGTTATTTTAATATATTTTACATACAAACTTTTTTAAAATTGTAGGAATTTATTTTGCTTGTGAAGTATCTAATTACTGTACTGTATACTTTGTACAGTGTCCCCAACATATGCAAACAAAAAGATGTTTGCGAGTCAGAACCACTATGCTATGAATGAGCAATGTCTCTTTTTGGTCCACCAAATTTCAACAACTAAACCTATATTTTTGGGGCAATTAATATTAGAAATGCTGCATATTATTGACTTTTTATGATTTCCTGCTTATCAGAATTCAAAATTTTTTTTAAGTGAAGAGGTTAATTACCGGGGATGGTGATAGGTGACACATGGGGTGGCAAATATTGGTGGGTCTTGATAATACAGTACAGTAGTCCCGACTGAAACATTTGATGCTATATGTGTTTTCTGTTGGCGTTTCTCCCTTCTGTGCTCCATTATCTCCAGCATAGCTTCTAGGGTAATGGATTGCCTCCTCTTTTGTACTGGTGCATCAGCAACACACCTTTTTTATCAGCCATTATTAAAGGTAATTCCCTAAATAAATGGTTGAAATAGTAAAGTAATTTCTAATCTACATTGATACAAGTTTGGAACTACCAATTGGGTAGTAAGAGTTAGCTGCATGGCATCGGCAGGCCGTGCATTGGTTAACATAATTATAGCCCTAACTGAATACACCTCACAGTTCTCTTGAATAGATAAGTTTGATACATACTAGTCCAATATATTCTTCAGATCATAGCAAAATTGGACTGTGACTAGCTCTAGGCTTATAATTGCACTCTTGTACAAATAAAGTTGATAACCATTGTACTGCGCTAAGGTGGTCTGAGAGATGTGCTATTTTTTTAATTAGGCTGTATTTGAATGTTTTTCAATGTTTTCATCTCTCTGTTTTGAAATGAAAATGGTTGAGTTTGGACACTTTTTGACATTAACTTTACCTGAACACTTATAAAAACAACAAAAATGTGTCCTTGACACATTTTCTTCATAGTGTCTTGCACTATGAAGTTTTTGCCAAAACCAGGTACGCAGTGCGGTGGTTAAACTGTTTTGGTTTTTGTATTACTACAAGAGAATGAGCACACAAGATCAAATTTGATCTTGCATATGCTGACAGATGATTACTGATGATCCTCTATTTTATTGCAACCTGGTCAGGTCTGTTGCCATGAAATTATCTTATATTCCCAGCATGTTGTTGAAACCCACTTACAGGAACAGGCTGGCTGCCTCACAAGCCATCACATTGGTGAGGTCGCTGTTTAGGTTATTAAAAATGTTCTATTAATGGACTAGTATTTTTACAATCCCAGATCACTATTGGAAGCAGGGATCTTGATTGCCACAATGGCGTCCTAGCACAGGGATACCAAGTACTCCCAGTAGACATATTCATTTGGTCCCCCTCTTGGTAAATGTCATACCCCTTGTGATTATTAAGATTACTTTTGATAATTGTTCCCACCCCACACATGTTGCCCTTGAAGGTAACAAGGGAAACAGTCAAATGTTACCTGGTGTTGGTTTTCAGGATCAATGTTCCTACAGACTGGTTTCTGACCAAGCCTCCTGGTTGGTGTTCTGATGAACCAGGCTGATCCTATATTAATCTTATCTTTGCTCCTGTTTTGTCTAGAAAGAAACAAGAAAACTGTGGAATCTTCTTTCATTTTCAGTGTGGTGACCCACAGGGTTATTTCTGCAGCTATGAGTGAGAGTTGGCAATGATCTTATCTTGAGATAATTGATAGATGATGATTGTCTCCACAATTGTCATTAACACCTCCAAATCTGGCCTCTTGGCCTTTGCTTATGAAGATGGGCTGTACAATGATTCTTTCACTTTTTCCGATCTTCGGTTTGCTCTGTCCCTTTGCCACGCCATAGTGGTGGGTTTTGATGGCATTCATTATGAAATGCTTTGCAATCTCACTTAGTACCTTGTTTTTCCCCGATTGCTCTAACTAGTTGCCTCTGTAATCTCTTGTGCGCATGATTAATGTTGTTTGTCAAATTTATGTAGTTTATCAAACATTCATTGTCCCCCCTCTCCCTCAATTTAGCTTTCACAAATGTTGCAGTTCAGCCGACATCTTGGTGGACCTGGAAGTGTGTTTGTCGGGCCTTTTATGTGAAAGAGTTGGTTGTGGCTGTCCTTTTCGGCCTAGAGAAAGCTTATGACATCACCTCGATATATAATATATTGGCCCATTGGCATTAACTAGGCCGCTATGGCAATTTGCTGCTAATTTTGCAAAGCTTCCTCTGGTTGTATGTATATAGTTTACATTGAGATTACTGTCTTGGTCTTGGAGATTATATTGCCAATACAAGATAGCATTTTGTTTAATACACTACAGTGGAACAAAAATTTGATTCTGCAAATCTCTTGACTTGCGTTTAGATGTTTTTTTATTTTGGGGTGAGGGAGAAGGGAAGGGAGGTTGTGAAGGCCAAATGGTAACTCTTAATTTGCCCCCAATCATGTTTTTTTTTTCAGTGATTTTTGTTGATGGGCAAAACATTACAAGAAACATTAATGGGCCTTGGGAGAGCCATTGAATATTATTTAAAACTAAATTCTACAGTTCATTTTAATTTTGAGATTCCCAGATTTTCATTCAATAATGTGGGACTTTTTTCCTTTGAAAATGAGATTTCAAGGCTAGGGCATGGGAAATATGGTAAATGTTGTTACATCTCTTTTTACACACAGGTTCTCTTAGTAGTGGTTCTTCATATGACAGGTTGATATTCAAATTTTGCTCAGGGAAATCAGTCCAGAGAGTGTGGGAAATATTAAGGCATGAATTGTAACTCAATATGACTTCAATCATGGTTTTTTATTTTTGAAGATGGACTATATTGCAAGAAGTAGTTGGAGTCTTGGGAAAACTATTAAGGATATTTAAAACCAACTTCTATGGTTTTAAATATCCATAGTTGGATATTATTGTGCCAACTCAAATATTTTGAGTTGCACAATTTTCGTTCACTTACGTATTGTCTTGCTACCTTTTAGAAAATGAGTTTCAAGGCTGGGAATGTGAGAAATAACCTAGATGTGGTAAACAAATATTTTGAAGACATGTTCATTTGGTAGTTCCTCTTATTTTATGGTTTGAAATTCAAATTTTCCAAAGTGAAATTAGCTCTTAGGGCATGGGAAATGCATCCTGGAGGCATCTCCGGTTGCAACGAATCCCTCACTGCAATGAACTTGGGTTGGTCCCATGTAGTGTGTTGATTAACACTCTTTACTTGCATTTTTCCCTAGTAATGACATTGAACTGGACATATTCCGATGTGATGCATATGCCTTGGCTCTGGAGTGTTTCATTCTTTCCCAGTCCAGAGTTGTTATTGTATGTGGAAATGGGTAACATGTCACTGCAAGATCATTGTGATAGGCATTTCCTTTCATAGTTTGAAAGGTTCACCAACATCTCCATTCTTGTTTATGCCATACCTTAACTGCTGCTGTTAGTCAGGTCTCTGCCTTATGTTTTTACTGCGACGATAGCCCATATATGGGATTCAGTCCACATCAGCATGTCTACATGTACTGTTCCTACCTTGCCCTTATAGAAGGTCCTACATGGGAAGTTTTGTAAAGCCCTAACCCATATGGTAAAGGCTTAAATTCCCCCTCCCCCTACAGTCACAAAATGCATTTTCCTTTAACATTCTCATTGCCACTCATGCTTGCTACACTTTGTTTTTGGTTGGGTCAAAGACTGCTGATGACTTTGGCTACTGTTGTGCTTCCTAGCGAAACCAATAAGTGCCGTCTTTCCCTAGAGATGAGCATTATCATAGTCATAATGGTCATTATTATAATTATCACAAGCTAATTATCATAGTGTATATGCAATTCTGAATGCTTTGTAACTTTATGCACCAACATTTTATTGTAATACTCCTGCAATTCATTTATGGTGTTGGTGGTGGTGTTGGTTTTGTTGTTTTTGTTTTATTTTACCTAGTTGTGCTTGAGGGGGGTTGAGCTCTGGTTCTTTGGTCCCACCTCTCAACTGTCAATCAACTAATGTACAGGTTACCTTGAGGTACTTTCGGGGCTTAGCGACCCCGCAGCCCGGCGTTGGTTCCTGTGGTTCCTATAGGTTCCTCAGGTTCCCCAGGTTCCTGAGCCTACTGGGAACCTACCTACATCAGTTTAGTGATGTGAACACTCGAGAGGATGGACTGGTTCATCCTCTAGAGTGCAGGTTAATTGTTGCTGGGTCCCCAGCTACATTTATATATTGCCTCATGGATGCCACTGCTACAGAAGTTGTGCTGCTCCCATCCTTCCCAAAAACTGATTACTTTCTGAATTCTACCGTTATTCATAAATGTAATCTGCACCCATTAGAAAGGTAGTCATGTATTATGGATAACAAACCGCATACTATTAAACGTGGCCCATACCTATTGCATTCCTGCTACAATTGCAAGAGGTGGGAAAGGTTTCTGGCTAGGATGCATCTGCCAATGTGCTCAACTCATGGGCACTTTATGAAAATGAGCTGTTTCTTATTCTCAAAACTGCATTTATCCCACTTAGGGCTGTGCACCACTGTAGAATGTCTCGGTGTTAAAGATGATCAAGGATATGGTTTCTCAAGGTCCGTTTCATCACTTCTTGGTAAAATCCTAACTGAATCTGACATATTTGACCTTGCTCTTATATTGGCATCCCAAATAGGAATGGTTTAACTTTTGCTTGTCAGATGATGCCAAATAACATTATGGTCTTATTGCCTTATTATAATTGCTTTCTGTCCCAATATAAGAGTAGCCCAGATTAAAACATATCTACAATACACACAAATCACAATAGCATGATATATCAAATGAACAAATCCACAAAGGCCCTGATGAGTGTTCGAACCTACGTCCGGGATGATCCCAGATGTGCCTTGGTCGACTGTGCCACGAAATGGTTAATGAAACCATGTTGTTGCGCAGTCGACTAAGGCGCGTCTGGGATCATTCCGGACGTAGGTTCGAACCTTCATCACGGCCCTTGTGGATTTGTTCATATCTACAATAGTTACTTTGACATTACTGTAATTATACATTTATTTTTCTTTCCAGGGTAAGATTGTGGAGTGTGTGCACTGTGGGTGTCGTGGCTGCTCTGGATAACCACATACGTGTTATAAGGTTAATTAAAACCAGTATTAAATCTCCACCATTTTTCTGTAATATCCTCAAATATTTTTTTAAATTCCTTGTTTTGAATTTAATTTATTCTTTAACATTGGTGGAAAAACAATATTGTTAAGTTTTTACATTGTACAGTTTTGGCCTAGGTTCATGTCCTTACTAGGGAGGATGCCAGGAGGTCATATTCCTAGGAAACAAAAGGTGGGGGTGGGGGGGGGTGGGGCAAGGCTTACCATGAGCTATAGTATGGGAAAGCTCTTGGTTTGCTATCAGCAGTTTTGTTCCTGTACAGGTGGTTTCTGTCCCCACTTGTGTAACCAAAAAAAAAAAAGTGGGTCATAGAACTTCATATTCAAACTTTGGCAAAAAGTTTAGGAATTTTCCTTGTAGTGTACTTTAGATTCTTTGAAATATGTATTATTGGCAATGGAATTATAATGAATCTAGCCTATTGTTTTTTCTTTAAAGCATAATGGAAACTTGGTGATATAGTTGTCAGTGGCATTGTATTAAACTATTTTTAGCACTTACTAAATTTGCTCATTTTTCTTCACCCAAACTGCAATACTATATTGTTATTCCTGCTCTCTGACCATGGATACAGTGGGTTGAAAACTGTAAGATACACAGAAAAACCTTTTAAGTTTGGAAGTGGAACTACTGGGGAGGTGGTATACTATGGATTTTAAATGTAAAATAATTAAATCGGTACTGTACAAGTCAGGTTTACGCTTCTGACTGTAAGATACAGGCATGCCAGCGTTAATGTATTATGCAAGTCTCGACAGAAGAGGAAAAACGAGAGTGGACAACACGAAGACGACTGGGAGAAGGATTAGGTGTCGTGTAGGGCTGAAAGACAGGAGAGAGACAGGATTGAGAAGGTAAGGATGTACAGGACAGAGAAGAGGGAGGTGGTGGAGAGGTAACACTGAACTGAACAGAAGAAGACAGGGAAGGGTGAAAACACCAGGTGGTGACCCGTGAGGAAGATCCTCAGGGTCAGAATGGAAAGGAGCAAAAGATGGGGAGCTGGTGGAGGTATTGGGTCTAAGGCCTGGAAATTGAGGTGGGGAGAAGTGTGATGCAACACACGAGCACAAGTCATGTTGAAGAAGGAGTTAAGGTGTTGAACTTGCATCTTGCCTCATGGAAAGATACCCAATTGTGATATTTTACATTGAGAATTGCTTTGTCAAATTTGTAGTGTATGCATTAGCAGAAGGCAGGGTGGGCATCACCACAACTGATACGGTGAGGCTGGGGAGAAGAGCACTCAATCTTAATGACCTGGGACCCTATACAATGGGCACGGGGACACCTCGCGAGTGCATATGCCCAAATTTCCAACACCTATTTTAGAGGTGAGGAGAGGAATGTATTCCTGAATGGAGCATCTGGCACCTGCAAGAATAACAGAGGACAAAAGGGACCTACCATCAAGATTGATTTGGACTACCCAAAGAAACTGACAACAATGACCAAGAGGGGGGTCGAGTAAATCTATCTATCTGAAGGATAGAACAGTCTTGGGCCTCAAGTAAATAATTATAATGGGTACATAATTATATTAAGGTAGATGTTCCATTCACCTGGACTGTATGGGTCTCGAACCGTGGACCCCGCATGTGAGAGGCCGTAGTTCTATGAACTAGAGCTTGGGGTCCACGGGTCGAGACCAGGTGAATGGAATGTTTTTATTTCCACAGAAGTGTGGATGGCTTTTTAAGGTAGATGAGTTAGGAGGAATCGTGGGCATTTGCATGTGGGAGGTATGGCACTGAACTCCCCCAGTATGAAGGGGTAGGGGTTAAAAGGTGCCGTTGTCAAGAGATGGAACCACTCCAGGTAACGAGGAGGTAATCACTGGGGGCTTGGGGCTCAACCCTGCCAAGGAAGTGGGAGGGGAGCAGAGAGGGTCATTTGGGAGTAAATAAAGGACCCTGGTTAGGGCCCAACTTAGCGTGGGCTATGGAGCCCAATCTTCCATCACTGGTCAACCTTAGGGCCTGCTCGCTCACCCCACAAGCCTTTGTAAGAGAACTCGGTTTGGTATCCATATATCAATTTAAAAAATCTTGGTCTTAAAACCAAGGGATACCACCTATCAGGGCAGCTAGGGAGGCCAAGCACTGGCCAAAACAGGAACAGGTGCGTCGTCCCCAGTGGTGCTCCCACTTTTCAATGGGGAAGTTATACTGCCTTGTACATTATCCCACACTGGTGCAAAGACCTCTCTCTCTCTTTTGCCCCATCCTGGACACCCAACCATCCACCAAGGGCGGCCCATCCAGCGGGAGGTCCAGGTCAACGAGCCCCCTGGGCCACCTAGACAAGATCCCTATGGGTGTGAACCTTGGCATGTACAACACCTGGAGAGGGAGGCCAAGGCAACCAGCCTCACCAGCCCCAGGGAGTTGTACATTAACCCCCCTTACCACTACATGGTGGTTGGAGGGTCTTACCTCCTAAAAGTAATACAAAATTTGGCTGAAGTATAAATTCTAAAGAATAACTTAGATGGAATTTCAAGCTTGTTCTGTAAGAAAAAAGCATTATAGTTAAGGTAAAAAATAAATAAATAAATACAATTCCTGCATGTAACCTTTACTTGTCACGTCACATTGCTAACATTATGTAGTCGTGCTGCACTTCACCTGGTAACTGGTATAACTTACTGCCTGCAGCTCAATGGTTTGACAAACTGATAACTAGTCACATGACTGACTGACTATTTTGAAGAGAATCTCTTCATTATTTTGAATTAGTTACTGCACTACAAATATCATAAAAAAATAATAATTATTAAATTCTGGATTGTATTTAGGAGATGACATGTCACAGGCAGCTAATGGGTATTTCAGAATGAAAACATTCAGTAACATTTTCCACCAAAGCTGTACTGATTGTATATAACTAAATCTATAAAATTAGTACTTTAAGGTTTCCACCTAACTGCATTTATATAGCATACCATGGACCAAGAATAATTCATGTCAACTTCTATGATACAATCCTCTGACTTGGAAAGTACTAATGGCACCGAGTTAATAACTGTGAACAATAACTAAAGCTCAAGTTTTCTGCACTTTTAAGAACCAGCATGAAACACAGAGGGAAGCTATGTGACAAAATGTAGTTTTGATCCTTAGGGGGTGTTTGACTAGGTCTTCATTTGCCTGCCTGCTCTTATAATAAAAAGCACATACAGAATGCATTAATTATATATACTGTGTGTGTGTGTGTGTGTGTGTGTTATATATATATATATATATATATATATATATATATATATATATATATATATATATATATATATATATATATATATATATATATATATATATATATATATATATATATATATATATATATATATATATATATATATATATATATATATATATATATATATATATGAGTGTCAGACTAAGAAGGAAGAATTGAAACAGGAATTTCCTTATTTTCGTATTTAATAATACATCTTCAGAAGGGTGAAGGGTGGAAAAGAACACACCCTTCTGAAGATGTATTATTAAATACAAAAAAAACTTAAGGAAATTCCTGTTTTAATTCTTCCTTCTTGGTCTGACACTCGCATTTTTCATCACATGTTAATTTTCGTGATTTACACACACACGTGTGTGTGTGTGTGTGTGTATGTATGTATGTATGTATGTATATATATATATATATATATATATATATATATATATATATATATATACACACCTGTGTGTGTATATAATATACACACACATACATATATATCCCAGAGAACCCGGTAGAGTTCTGGGTTGGTTGACTTTATGTACCACTGTGGCAGAGTCGGTTAAGGCAGGCATCTGGGAATCACCAGAATGCGAGTTCAGGTCACTCCATTGCCTCAAATTGATTTTCACTGATGATATAATGACATTGTGATATATATATATACTGTATATGTGTGTGTGTATTTTATATATATATATATATATATATATATATATATATATATATATATATATATATATGTATATATGTGTATATATATAATATAAAATTCATAGTGTATGTATGTATGGATGTCCTGTATATGCAAAATAAATCACAATGCACAGAAGCAGTTTTCATCCGAGTATGCTTTCCAGTTTGCACCCTTCCTCAGATATTATTAAACAATGAATTGAAGAAATATGATGAGCCAGTCTTAATTAATTGAACCCTTCCATGCAAAACTCATATATGTACAGTATGTTTCTTGCCTAACTGATTGCACTGCAAAAGTCATATATCCTTCAGAGTTCTGCATAAGATTTTAAAGTCCTGTACATACCCAAGGCTCACATTTCCTCTTCCAACTCTCCATCTTGAAAACAACAAATCCTGAGTTTTCTCTCTAAGGGCCTTAGTAAAATGATGAGGACCATTTCTGACACATCATCATCCATGTCAGGATGTGCAGGGCAGCCATGCTAGGAGCCACTGAACTTTTGTAGCTATGATTAGCTACAAACCGCAGTTATTACCACATTCCTGTCAAAATCCTGAATATGAATCCATTTCCACAAGGTTATATTGTGAAGGAACATGAGGTCATTTCATGATGCATAGATGCAAGAAACAATGGCTGGGTGATGTGTGTTTTGATTTCAAGGTGTGAATACTGTATACAGTACCAATAATAAAATAATTCATCGAGTTGTGTATGAGTGCATTCGTACATGTTGGCTGATATTGAGATCTCCCTCCTCTCACGGTCATATTACTGACCCTGCCCAAGATGCAACCCATAACAAGCTGACTAACTCCTGAGTATCTGCTTACTGCATGGCGAAGAGGTGCATTAGGTGATAGGAAATGCGTCCAACCATTTATGTCCTGGAACCCGGAATTCTCGATTGTGAGTCGAGAATGAACCTGACTACTACTGGGACCCTTAATTATAACTAGCATTGTATTCACTGATATCTGAACATTGTATGTAGTCTTTATCAGTCAGGATCATCTATGACACTCAATAATGACTAAAATAGGTAACTAATTATTTTGCATTAAGTGGTGCTGTTGACCCCTAGCTGCACAGCAGTGCTGTGATCTGCTCCTGCATATGCCAGCCTTGTTTGCTCTCACAGCCAGTATGGATGCTGATACTGTTTTTTTTCAAGATGTCTGTTTACTGGAGTCTCGAGTCACAGGATGTGAGCCCTGTGTACCCGCGGGAGTTTTGAATCGTTCCCTATACCTAAAGCTCCACATGACGCTCTGCACACCCCAGATTGGGTGCCTCTTGTTTCTTGACATTCCACTTCTGCTTGTTCTCATATCGCATTCTCTTCAGCTAACCCCTCTTCTCTTGTGCCAACAGCATTATAAACTTGATTGTTTTCTGTCTCTCTTTTAAGATTGTCTCTCCATCTTTCTTTGAGGTAGGGTATATACCTGAAAGTATACTCAGATGAAAACCTTTTTCAATCACTGAGGTTTATTTTACATTTGTCGAGATCAGTGTTACGATCTTCTGTGTTCTACTTATTTTAAATTTAATACACACATACATTATATATATATGGTATATTTTGGTAGCAGTCTTTCTTGTAAACATATGTTGTTGAATACGACCAAAAGGGTAAGATTAATGATTTTAACATGAATCTTCTCAATATTTCTTATTGAAAAACATAAATCTTATCTTAAAGAAAAAGGTAAGAAATATTGAGAAGATTCGTGTTACAATCATTAATGTTATCCTTTTGATCATATTCAACAACATTTTATTTATATATATATATATATATATATATATATATATATATATATATATATGTCGTACTTAGTAGCCAGAACTCACTTCTCAGCCTACTATTCAAGGCCCGATTTGCCTAATAAGCCAAGTTTTCATGAATTAATATAATTACTATAATTTTTTTCTTATGAAATGATAAAGCTACCCTTTTCTCTATGTATGAGGTCAATTTTTTTTTATTGGAGTTAAAATTAACGTAGATATATGACCGAACCTAACCAACCCTACCTAACCTAACCTAACCTATATTTATAGGTAAGGTTAGGTTAGGTAGCCAAAAAAAGCTAGGTTAGGTTAGGTTAGGTAGGTTAGGTAGACGAAAAAACATTAATTCATGAAAACTAGGCTTATTAGGCAAATCGGGCCTTGAATAGTAGGCTGAGAAGTGCGTTCTGGCTATTAGGTACGACATATATATATATATATATATATATATATATATATATATATATATATATATATATATATATATATATATATATATATATATATGTCGTACCTAGTAGCCAGAACGCACTTCTATGCCTACTATGCAAGGCCCGATTTGCCTAATAAGCCAAGTTTTCATGAATTAATTGTTTTTCGACTACCTAACCTACCTAACCTAACTTTTTCGGCTACCTAACCTAACCTAACCTATAAAGATAGGTTAGGTTAGGTAGGGTTGGTTAGGTTCGGTCATATATCTACGTTAATTTTAACTCCAATAAAAAAAATTGACCTCATACGTAATGAAATGGGTAGCTTTATCATTTCATAAGAAAAAAAATAGAGAAAATATATTAATTTAGGAAAACTTGGCTTATTAGGCAAATCGGGCCTTGCATAGTAGGCATAGAAGTGCGTTCTGGCTACTAGGTACGACATATATATATATATATATATATATATATATATATATATATATATATATATGTCGTACCTAGTAGCCAGAACGCACTTCTATGCCTACTATGCAAGGCCCGATTTGCCTAATAAGCCAAGTTTTCATGAATTAATTGTTTTTCGACTACCTAACCTACCTAACCTAACTTTTTCGGCTACCTAACCTAACCTAACCTATAAAGATAGGTTAGGTTAGGTAGGGTTGGTTAGGTTCGGTCATATATCTACGTTAATTTTAACTCCAATAAAAAAAATTGACCTCATACGTAATGAAATGGGTAGCTTTATCATTTCATAAGAAAAAAAATAGAGAAAATATATTAATTTAGGAAAACTTGGCTTATTAGGCAAATCGGGCCTTGCATAGTAGGCATAGAAGTGCGTTCTGGCTACTAGGTACGACATATATATATATATATATATATATATATATATATATATATATATATATATATATATATATATTACTCACACATGCATACATAAAAACACACACACATATACTGTATATTTGTAAATATACATATTATTAGCAAAGCAAAAGGAATTACTTATGCAGACTGAATTTGGTATAAAAGTTATTTACTGCAGTACACAAAACACAGTAGTAATAACATTCTAAAAAAATAGTAAATACAGAGTATATAAAACTCATGACATCACCTATGATTCCCAACTACTGTCATTTGTTAGCGCACAATGACTCGCACAACACAGGTGACAATCACGCACAATAAACGCCTCCACTCACATTACATCAACAGCCTCTTTGTTAAAAACTTAAGCAGAAATGTAAATACGTAGGTATAGTTTGTGCTTGTGAAATCTGTTCTCAACATGACAATCACACCATGATACAGACTGCCAATGCCACTCATTTGAGCATACATATCTGAGTAGGGTAATCTTTTAAAACAAAAAATTGGCATGACCTGGCTTCAACGGCCAGATTTGTCATACTGTAAATTGTTTATATTTTTGTAGATAAATAATAATAAGACTTTGGTAAATGCTCGGAGTTTACATTCTAGTTTTATCTATGCTATTTACATTGACAAATTATTACCCATTCAAACATGCGAAGGTAAAGCTTTTGAGAACATCTCTTAGCATATTTGTTTTGTGCTTTTTTTTTTGCTTTGTGATTCCTCAAACATGTTACTTATGACCAAAATAATTATTTAATCTCAAGAAATAAAAACTATGGCAAATATGTTTATAATAATCAGTACAATTATCATCATGACTGGATTATACATTCAAGTTAAAACTTGCACATCCTATCATGCATCTTCCCGGCGTCCTTTGAGCAAGAAGACATCCATATTATCCTTTCCTTTGACAAACACTTGGCCCCGCCGCTCTAGCTCATACCGTCTATTAAGAACCACTGCACACTTATTACTTACTTGGATGCGGCCTGGTACGCCAGTGGAATCCATCCGGGAAGCAATGTTCACTGCATCCCCCCAGATATCATAATAAAGTTTGGTGGTGCCTATTACTCCAGCTGTTACATCCCCAAAGTTAAGTCCTATGCGAATAATGAGGTTAAATTCTATGAGGTCTTGGTTAAAGTCATCTATAACCTTCTGCATTGCTAAAGCAAATTCTACTAGTTCAAATATATGCTGATGTGCATCAGTGTTACCTTGCCTAACTTTAACATCCAACCCAGAAGCAGCCATGTAAGTGCTTCCAATAGTTTTAATCTTTTCAATATTCTTGAATTCTTGACGCAAAAGGAGCTCATCTATATCAGCAACTAGCTCATTCAAAACACGGAGGTATTCCTTCCCACCAAGATAATCCTCATCATAAAGTTCATTAAAGTTGACGATTGATGCAAACATTACAGCAACATCTTTGTGGTTCTCAGAATACTTTGCAGTTGATTTAATTGAGTCAGCAACATGTCCCGGGATAATATTGTTAAGGAGCCAGTCTGCTTGGTTTTTCATGGTCTGTACCTGCACTTTATCTTTCATAGCCATTACAGACCCATGGAAACTCAGTCTATAACTGATCTCAAATTCCCGGTTGAGAAACCATACTAACAACACTAATAAAATTGCAGCAACCACTACCTCTTTGTAAAAAAACTGAGCCATAGTATCAGTCACCTGTCCTGAATTAGTCAAGCTACTATTACTGTTGGAATTTTCATTCAGCTTACTAAGCATTGGACATAGTGATGGTGACACAAGCACCAACAGTATTACTATTCCAACTGTTGCCAAGATGTTTTTCATCCAACAGTTTAACTGTGTGAAGTTGCATAAATGTATTACAGCCACAAATGTAAGGTAACAGAAAAACCTTTTTGTGTTATTTTCCTCTGAAAGATCACAAGAAAAGTTAGACATGACTGCTGCAAGCGGCAGACAAATTATAGAAGCACCACAAACATGCCAAGGGTGCCAACGTGTCAATTTTGCATAGATCTGTGTAAAGGTAGCGGATGCTAGCCAACCACTATCTCCTCGGATAACTTGAGACGAACACAGCACCAACAAGAGTAGGTGCCAACATGTTGACAAAAGGCACAGCAATAGCCAACCTAGTGTATAAGGAAATAACAGAAAAAGTGAGATGCTTACTACTATGTATACAAGTGCACTCACCAAGATATCAAAAAAAGTATTAAAATGAGTAGATACTAAGGTAGGGGGTGAATCAAGCCTTGGCTTGTGAGCCTGCTGACGATATTGTTTTTCAAGCTCCTCGTCCACAAAAAATAATGTGGCATGAGACAATGGTGGTGCCTCAATGTATTGCCGATGATTTTCATTTTGTTGCATGCATTTGATCAGCTGAAGATCTGATTGCTTGCGCAGCTGATGAAAGCGTGTTAGGCTCTCATTGAGGGGGATGCTACTTGGCTCGGGTCCACAACCACCTTCACCTGCTTCAACTGGAATGAAAATGAAAAATAATTGATTGAGAATTTAGAAATTATAAATGACAAACACTACTATAGAATATTTAAGAAAGGGAACAAAATATAAACCTTGACAAGCTTTCTAATTAACAACCTATCCATCTACTTATCAACCCACATTTATTTATCAATGTTCCCATCTATTTATCAAATCTACCCATTTATCAACTTATCCATCTACAGTAGAGATAGTTACCCATCTTAGGTAATTGGTACTGAAAACTTAGCACTTCCTGCATCGAACAAAATCACAAAAATGCCAAGAACTCTTCAAATATATCTCAAAAACATACTAAAACATGAATGATATCTGATAAAACTGTCATAATAAATATTATGACATTAATTTGTTCATGATTAAGTGCATGCTTCTTATGGAAATCAATCATATTAATTTGATTGTTAAATTTACTGGAACATATTTAATTTGTTCTCTTTTGTTTTCATGCAAATGATCAGACTTTAACGGCAGGATGACAAATATAGAAAACATCTAGAAAAGCACATTATAATTGTTGGTGATAAATGGTGTCCAGACATTAGTAACGAATATGGCCTCATTTCTGGTCTCGACATCAAATCCAAATACAGTACAGTACAGACTCTCCAAATCAACTGAAAATGTCACCGATGCATGTCAAACATACTGATGCTATTTTGTATATTAAGATCAGAACTAAGTCTCTGGACACTTAAAGTTAGGGACATTAACAGTAAATACAAAATAGTTATACGAGTACTATACTGATACAGTATCACATTTATTTTGCCAATTTTATGATATTAATCAGAAGATGAGACATTGTTCTATAAAAACAACACTGGAATGGACATTATACACAATATGTTATCCCAAAATGGCAGCATCCAGTTTCATCACACATCCAAGTGTTCGACTTATCCTAGCACCGATCTCCAAACAATGAGACATAATTCATTTTTAAGGGAATTATATTTTACTATCTTCCTACTGAAATTTTAATACCTGTATTTGTTCATGGTTTATAATAGAATATACATTCTATTACAGTATTATAAATTTAATAGTACAGTAATAAAAATACAATCCTTAGGGGAAGCAAAAACCCTTTGACAATTATGCAATATTGACTATATACTATGTCTAGGGAACATTTATGACCTGGTACAGTGTGTTTTGGAACATGTTATATATTACATGTATATGTTTATATATCAGCAGTCCCTGTGGTGCAGTGGTAAAGCACTCGCCCAGCGCTTCGGAAGTGCTTTGGCCTGGCCGGGGAGGACTGACCAGATGCGAATCCTTAATTGTAGCCTATGTTTACCCAGCAGTGAATAGGTACCTGGTTAAATGATTTGGCAGGTCGTATTCCGGGGAAAATTAGGATTAAGGACCTACCCAAAATGCTATGCGTGCTAGAGGCTTAACAAGAATGTAAGAACTGTTGTACATTTATAAAAAAAAATATATATTTTTATGAAATGAATAAATATACTGTACAGTATCCTGGAAAAAATGTACTGAATTTTTTCAGTACTTTAAATTGTATAGAATTAATGAAAAGTTTTGCTCTTTACTACAAATGTAGTAAAATGAAAAATAAAAATATAAACTTACTTTTACCTTCTTTTCTGCTCTCGAAGTGGGAAAATAAGATTCCAGAAGCTACAGCCACAGTGAAAGGGTTAAGTAAACTCTTAAGTTAAGCAAAGCAGTTTGTTAGTGTAGAAGAGACAGACCATAGAACCACCAAGGTAATGACCCAACTCAAGAGGAGTCACACCATGCTCAAGGCACAGTGTACCCTACTCCAGGGTATTTTTGCCCTGTTATATTCTCTGAAATGCAAACTGTCCAACACCACAAGAGTAAGGACTCACCATACTTATGGTCGGCAACTGAAGACTGACTGGATGTGTAGTAACCACTGACACGATGTGTTAACAAGTCTCCTGGGCTCATACCATTAATTGCAAATAGCTGTAAATAAAGATGTAAATTAAATATTGAATCAATTGTAAAAAAAAAAAAAAATTGTAGTTGATAAAGATAAAACCATCACCTACCACAGCATCTAACAGGAAAGTAACAGTATATTGATTTTACATTTAAAAACTTTTGCATAAACTATGCAATTTTTCCCAAACTTCCACTAGGGAGCTAGAAACCCCCAAAGAAATAAGGTATATTTTATGGCTGACTAAGGAAAGACTGCAAATTAGTTATTAATTTAATAAATAGTAAAATAAAGAGATACTGTAATTAAATGTTATAAAAGAGAACAGGGAAATAAAGAGCAGTAAATGCCAATAATATGTAAGTAGACCTAAACTAACTGCCTTGAGCACAAACCACAATTTATTAAAGGTAAATTAACAAGTACAGTATAAAACTAATTTTACAAATAGTATAGGTAAACAATCACAAGTTAATAGTAAATTTGTAAACATTATACATTAGTGGTAATCAATTCTAGATACTAGTATGCAGACAAGGAAGAAAGATTACAAAACAAGGAAACTGGAAAGTGGTCAAGGAATGCAAGTCAAGAATTGTTAATTGCAGAACAAAGTTAGCAAAGAAGGAAATGTAAATTACACAATGCAGTAAGTGAAAAGGTAAAATCATTTGATTTTGATACCAACACTGAGTAAAACAATTTATGTTGCTAAAGAAAATGATATTAAAGAATACAGAATAAATAAAAGTTACTTTTAACTAAATTCATCTAGTTGACAGCCAAATAGTAAATAGTTTTGTTCTATCAGATTAACTGCAGGACTGTAAGGGATCCCTCAGACAAGTGTGCCATGGAGAGCAAACGTGCTTAATTAGTGATGGTATGAGATGGGAGCTAGTGGTGCCGAGGAGGGGTAAGGAAAGGTTGTTCCCAGGGCAGTGCACGCTAACCAATGTGGCTCCCTTTCACGTGATCCAGAGTGTGTACGAGAGAAACATATGCCTTTCCTCAACTGCCACAAAAGCTTCTCGAGGCACAATAAATGGAGTTTAGAATTATATACTGTACCAAACAATATTTACCCATACGAATAGAACACAAAATTTGGTATAAAAATTTGCTACCAGAGAACTACATAGGTCCAAATTTATAAGTCAATATTAAGGTTACTAAAGATACTTTATCAAAGATTAATTCAAATATGCTTTACTATACAGTACAGTACTAACAAAAACTAGAAAACCCACCATGAAATTTTCTTTGACTAGTTTAAACACCACAAGGAAGCTACAAAACTCTTTACTCCATTAACTTTGTATTTTAACTATCCTGTTTCCCACTTTTATGGAGAGGGAGGCATTATTCAAGAGGTAAAACTAAGTAAATAATCAGCAAGGTAATACTGTAGATACAGTACTGTATGTGAATGAAATTCAAATTGCTTTAAATTACACCAAAATAAAGGAATTTATTATGAATATTAATGAGAGATTAGCGAAATGTAAACACATACCTAATGGAGTAACCTGCTAGATATCCCAGCCTGCTTTTCAAATTTGTAAATCAACCTCCATGTCAAAGGCCTCCTGGCAGTCTATGAAAAGAAGTCCACCCACCTTTCTGCTTTTTGTCTTAAATCCAACACACTATCATACAATCCTGTTATGCATGTGAAGTATGCTTTCCCTTCTCAGAACGCGTGCTGTTGGGCTGTGAAGAATTCCATAAGTGTCAGCTAGTCTACTCATTTTTAGGGGATGTTCTTCATCATTAAGTTTTACATATCAGAAATACTGGTTTGACATTTTGGGTTTTCCATTTTCCCCTTTCTTTGTATTTTGGTTCTACTGTACATTGGTTCTTCTCCAGATATTAGGATTCTCTCTTATTGTGATTAATATATTACATGTCTATGCTGCTGGTCTCCTGAGGATGTCAGTAACTTCTTTCAGTATTCCAGGCAAAATATCGACTTGTACATTGTCACACCTATATGCAGCTTTTTCAGATGTTTCTTCTGCCCAAACTACATGTTCAAGTATTGTCCAGTGTTTTACTTCTCCCAGCTCTAGTTATTTCCTAATTCAGTTGTAAATATGGTACAGTACCTTCTGCAATTTTCTGTAGTTCTTTGTCAACCTCTGTTATTACTTGTGAGCATTGGCAGGAAATTTTTTAACTCATTAGTTGTGTAGTTGGGTTCTGGGGTGTGAAACATTTTAAGAAGTACACTTTAAAACACACTTCGAAGTTATGAAATGAGAAAAGCTGTTTTTGAGAAAAATTTGAATGTAATCAGATGTAATTCATGTCAAATACATTTAATTTGTTAACATAGGTAATGACTACCACACAGAATTTATTTGGGCCCCTTGTTTTGAGGACAGGCTACAGATAATTATCGAAGCCCACTGCTCACCAGAATTTAAAATACTGTATACTGGAAATGTAATTTGTTCAGCAAGTTACTAATTGCCCTTAGTCAGTTTCCATTCATACGCAAGCTCAGTTCTTCGATCAAGACGAGCTCAATCTCTCCAGGATGCGACTCGGTACATTAAAACAGTAAACACTATGCACCAAAACATGTTTTGAATCTGGTGATAATCACCGACTGTTAAACATATCTTTTAGTCATATTTTAGATTGTCATCATTACCCCATTTACCAATTTCATGTAGTGGAGAGGCACTTGGCTTTTAGTGAGAAGACACGTGGGTTCCACTGTGCCTTTACCTTCTGCTTCAGGAATAATGAGGCTGCATGCAGCACCAAGCACTGTGAGAGCTACATTTCCACACCTATATCTTACTACTGCGTATTCCTTCATCTTTTCACTTTTAAATTTTTGTTTTTACCTGCACTTTGAGCAGGTAAATTTACATCTGATGCGACTAAATTCCATACAAACAGAAACCTAACAAATGGTAGGACCAGTTTTTCCCACTCTACAGAGACCAAGTCCCAAATGTACACTGCATCTTGGCTCTTGCTCTGAATGTCATTAATGTATGCTTGATGACAACTAGGAAGTCCATACAAATCTAATAAGATTCGGTTCAAAGTATGGTCACACAAAGTCCCAAAACTATAAATTAATATTTTCAGTACATTACTGTAATGTGTTATTTACCTTTTACAAATGATATGTCCCCTGACTATATAAATAGCCCCCACACTAGGGACTAAACATTAAAATATATTAATATCAATGTATATTAAAATGGCAAAATATTGCATATACAGTATTGTGCAAAAAATACACCAGAAAACATTTTCCAATTCATATTTTTAAATAATTACAGTACTAAAATTAAAGACTAATAATTTACAGAGTTTATGAGAAATTTTGAAATATATAGCTTTGTTCAAATTTCTTTAATATTGTTTAATTTCTTAAATTTAACTAGATTTAATTATTAAACAGAATAATTTATAATCTTCAAGTTTTATCAATACATTCACATTCATATTTTTCATTATTTTGTCCTGGAGAATAACATACAGCATCTACCCTGCTGTATGGCAAGATGAACACTGATAATACTCTACAAAAATACATACTTTACAGTTTTTTTAAAAAAAAAAAAAAGCTTTGTTCTTAGGCTTTATATTATGAACGTAATACTATCCATATTCCAGTGACAAATTTATCTATTCTACATGCAACTGCCATTTATATTAATGCAAACATTCTGAAACAGATGGAACACATTTAGCTCTTGCCTTCCACACACATTTTGTAATACAGTAAATGCAGTCCTATTTATGTATAAAAGATGTGAGTCGGGTAATACACCAGTACTGTAGTTTGGCATCCTAATGGTATGCTGCCAGAATTTGTCTTACCATGCAATTTTAATTTTTCTCGTCTGAACATAAGGATTTATTAAAATACTATGACTTGGATGATACATGTTTAAGAACGCCTTGGGCAAAATAAGGCCCGAAGTATCTCCAAACTGTGGCAGGAAAGAGACGTGCGTTGATCTACGTACACTGGACTGTTATAAAGGTTATGTACGTATGCAGATCAATGTAAAGCATCCACAGAGGTAAAGAGTGAGAGTGTTTAATAACTGGTAGTACAGGATTGGCAATACATTGCCCTACTTGGGATGACTACAATGGCATAACAATTGCCTAGAAAAGTTCAATTATTCGAATATGAAAAGGACATCAGTGAATATTCGAATAACAAAGATAAGCATTTCTTTAGTCACTAAACAAAAAAGCATTAAATTTGAGAATACAAAGTGTACTAGAAAGAAAATATGAGGGTGAGATCACACTAAATACTGTACTGATATTTCACACACAAAAATATACCTGTGCCTGTATGCTTGATCTTCTGCTGCGAATTCCTGAGTCTTTCCTGGGATCTTTTCCCGAAATACTTCCCCAAGAGTTCTGCAGAACATCCCTGGGAGTTTGGGGCGAAGCTGGTGGGTTGGGCAGGGGAGGTGCGTTGGGTGTAGGAGGTGGGGGAATTGGTGCCTGTGTGAGCATTGGGGGCGCAGTGTTGATGGTCGGGGTGAGGACTGTGGGGCTGTTGCAATCCCCATCACTAACACCTCTCAGGCCACTTCCAAACCCACTCCACAAGTCACACCAATCATGTGACTGAGGAAGGTATTTGATCCATATGAGTTTTCTTTGTAAGAAGACAATACTGAATATCATCTACCTCCATATTCTTGCCAACTCCTGTCTTGTAAGTAAATTGTGCTGATAACATGCATACTGGCTTCTCGTCAAACTCGTGAAGAAAACTGTACTCATTGCTAGAATGTTTAATAATTATTTGTACTACAAACCATTTTGATATCTCAGGTGAAACCAATGCTTACATTTACTTTTGTCATACCATTTTCTAAACATCTCCCTCATTAAACTATCCACCACATCTTCACACTCTTCCCAAGTTCTCAGACTCAATCTTGAATCCTACTATCTTTTCAAAACTTCCTAACTTCATAAGTTATCTTTGTTGTCCTCTAATTTTGACCTGCTATATGAAATAATGTACAGCTTCTGTAAATTATGCAGTACTGTACTTACATTAAAGGAATGTAACAATTTCACATTTGCAAATTCATAGGATTAATATCTGGTAACTCAGGCTAAACTGTGCACTTGACAATTAAATGAACCAATAATGTCTAATTTATCTTGGTCTAGAATTGCTAAGGACAACTTCAACAAAAACAAATTTAAATATGAATTCCTTAAAATTATCAGTAATTCTTCTATTGAGAGATAAGTTTCTTTAAGAGATTCTTTACACATATTGTGAAAGTATGTACAAATTCCTCTGTGTACCAATTCTGGATACACTGGGTATGACTGAAATAGTGCAGGGGTAGAATTAGCACATCCTAGATATTGCATAATTCACAAAGTGTTTACAGGATACAGTACAGTATACACAATGCATGCCAAAATCCCTACATCCTCTTACAGCTCCCTTGCTTTGATCAAATGGCAGCACACTGCCAGGCAAACAATGGGAAACTTGAAAGTGAAAAAGTTCACTGTATTCATGTTTTAAAGATGGGAGAAAGAATGATGAAGTACAATCATCATGGATAATGTGGATCTCTGTCCACATGTTTGAGAAAAATTGGTGCAATTTGGGATTTGCTAGGGACCTTGATGATGAAAAGTGGGGAAGTGTGTATTTCCATAGTTGTGATTGGCAGGGTAGGAGGTGGCAATGGAGCAGACGGTGTTGGGGGCAAAAGTGTTAAATCTAGGATGGGTGAAACGGGGTGGATGTACTGTAGGATGGGGCATGAAGCAGGGGTGGATGGAGAGGGGTGGGGGAGTGAAGGTGAGGGTGTATGGAGAGAGCATTAAGCTGAGGTGGATGGAAAGAGGGAATGAAGCAGAAGTGGATGGAGAGGGATGTGAAGCAAGGGTGGAAGGTAAGGACAAGATGTAAAGCCATGTAAGCCCAGAGCCATGTAAAAGGCCATAGTAACATCTAACAAACACAGCCAGAAAGAAATTAAGGCAGAACCAAACTAAGCAAACCACCCAAAAGGGAGTGGCCACCAGAGGTATGTAAATGCTCTTGCATGGCATTGGAACAAAATAACTGGACGAACATATAACCAAAGAAGAAACACACACAATGCCCATGAAACAAGGGCAGATGCTTAAAACTACCACCACAAAGGGCATGGATCAGGACACCAGACATATGCCAGAGGAAAGCAGCTGCCACAAAAGGTGAAATGGGCAATTTGGAGGGCCCAGCAACAAAATACATACAATACCTGTTGGTAAAAAAATCCTAGGACCCAAAAGAAAATAGATTGTGAGGGAAAGGAAAAACCTATACTGTCTAGAAATGACAAAAAGCATCCTGGAAAGCAGCAAGCAGCAAAAGGTAGCCCCTTTCTCCTGTTTAAAGTAATTAATATATGGAGAGCTATAAAACAATACTATTTACTGTAGTAGAATTATGCCCCATAATACCACATGGTTAATGTGTTCTATTCATAGCCAAAATATAAGAATCTGGATATATTTTTATTAGAACTAAATAATCTAGGGCCTTATTAAAGTTTCCAATAGAAATTGAACAAAATTATTTACCATTTTTATGTTAGTACAGTACATAGATTTGAAAAAATTAAAAAAAATTCTGTGAATAGAACAACAAATGTGTACATTTTTATACCCACACCTTTGTATTTCATGTTTATAGTGTACTCTTTAAAAAGGTGTTTATGTGCAAAAACCTTCTGATATTTCAGTTTTTCTCTCCTAAGTGAATACTTATGCAAATTTTATTGACAGTATTTATTTATTTTACACACACACACAGAATGTAAAGCATTATACGACAAAGAGTACTGGGAAGATGGGACACCTCGAGCGTAGCTCTCATCCTGTAACTACACTTGGGTAATTACACACACACACATAAACATACAGAGGACACAGATTCAAGATAAGGAAACAAAGGTACCGAAAAAATATTAGAAAGTTTTCTTTTGCAAACAAAGTGGTAGACGGTTGGAGCAAGTTAAGTGAGAAGGTGGGAGGCCAAAACTGTCAATAATTTCAAAGCGTGATTTGACAGAGTACAGTACTGGGAAGATGGGACACCACGAATGTAGCTCTCATCCTGGAACTACTCTTACATAATTACACTTAGGTAATTTCACACACACATGCGCGTGCACAAAACAAGCTACAAAATGGCTTCCAGAACTGAAAAACGAGTTACAAAGAGAGGTTAGAGGCATCAAATATACCAAAGCTAGAAGATAGAAGATAAAGAGGCAATATGATTACAACATACAAAATAGTAACAAGAATTGACAAAACTGACAATGAGGATTTCTTGAAACTGGCAACTTCAAGAACAAGATGTCACCGATTCAAGCTAAGGAATCAAAGGTGTCAAAAAAATATTAAAAAGTTTTCTTTTGCAAACAGCGTATTAGACAGTCGGAACAAGTTAAATGAGAAGGCAGTGAATGCCAAAACTGTCGGTAGTTTCAAAGTGTCATATGACAACAGATGCACAACACAGCTTCAGAGAGGGAAATCATGGTTAACAAACTTGATTGAATTCTGTGACAGGATCACAAAAAAAAAAAAAACAAGAGAATTATGGATAGACTGTATCTTCCTAAACTGCCAAAAAGCTTTTGTTACAGTTCCTCACAAAAGACTAATACCTGTACACAAAATGGAAAGACAAACATTAATAACAGAAAATGCAATGGAATGGGTACAGGAGTACTTGATGGACAAGAAATAAAGTCAGAGAAAATATCAGGCTGGAGAGGAGTGAAAAGTGGTGTTCCACCAGGTTCTATCCTAGGATCATTGCTCTTTTTAATTTATGTAATTGACCTCGTAGAGGAAGTGAGCTCGTACATGTCAATGTTTGCAGATGTTGTAAAGTTAGTGAGGAGAAAAAGAATTGAAGAGGACTGTAGAGTATTACAAGAAGATATTAACAAATGTGGAGAGTGAGCAGATAAATGGCTGCAGGAATTGAATCAAAATAAGTGCAAAGTATTGAAAATGAGTAAGGGAGATAAGAGACCTGTATTTAACTACGGTATTCCATAAGGTAACGGCAAGAAAGAATAAGAGAAAAAGATATGGGAATAGGCAATCCCAACACTAACACAAAAGGCCCATGTGATCAGGATAACATCAGAAGCATATGGGAAGTTAGCAAACATAAGAATGTCATTTAAGGATCTAAACAATGAAGTCCATACATGCTGTCTATGTGAAACCGTTACCTGAGTATGCAGCTCCAGCATGGAACCCCACACCTTGTAAAGCATAAGCAGAAACTTGAGATAGTTCAGAGGTTTGCAACTAGATTAGTACCAGAATTGAGAGGCCTCAGCTATGAGGACAGGTTGGAAAAACTCAGTAACACAACCTTAGAGGAGAGAAGAAACAGAGGGGATATAATAACTACATACAAGATCTTGAGAGGGAATAGGTAGAGGATAACAGAAGCTATTTAAATTAAATTAGAAATATACAAAAGTTCTATTTTCTGAAGTGCTGTAGGAGGTTGGAACAATTTACCACTTTCATGTTCCGATGCCGATTGCTATTCGCGAACATTAGTATATTCCTCACTGTCACACACACACACATCTATTATAAACAGAAGTTTGTTTTTGCATCTATTCGCTTGAGAATAGATTTGCAAAATCTTATTTGCAAAACACTTTGACTCCAAATTTAGTTATAACCCATAACCAAGAAAATGTGAAATGATTACAGCACTGTATAAACATTTTAAGCATCACTAAGCAGGGCCCACGGAGCACTCTAGGTTTACATTCTGCAACATGCAGAGGACTAAAACTTGTTATATATACAATTTTGGTTTTGCACCTATTCTCTAGGCTTATTGACACCAAATTTATTGTTATAATCCATCCAATAAGTTAGAAAACGTCAGATGATTATAACAATTCTTGACACCACTGAGTGACCCGTGAGCCGCCCGGAGAGCCCAGAACATCTACAGGTAGGAACAGGTGGAGAGGCTAGACCACAAAAGTGTTAAGTAAGGTGGTGGTGGAGGCTAAAATCACCAGTGGTCTCAAATCCTCATATGACAAAGATTATTGGGAAGATGGGAAACCACGAGTATAGCTATCATCCTGCAACTAAACATGGGTAATTACACACCCACACACACACACACACACACACATACATACACGAGTATTACTAACCTCTTAAATAAGTACCAAAATGTATGAGCCAGGAGGTAGTCATGAAACCTTGCAAATAATGCTCGAGATGCTGTGCTTTCTGCCGAGATGAGCACTAGCATCTCCAATTCTCATCTACATCCAGCCATAAAGATGCACATCAATCTAAAGCAAATTTCATAACACAAATCCTTTGGCCCCTGACCATTGTGGATAAATGTCATTAAATTGAAAATACAAACATATATACTGTACACACATCAAACGTATGAGAAATTTATTGTGATAAAATGTTTGGGATTACTTTAAAATGTCCTTTGAAGGTCAAAAGTAATAAGCCTGGTTGTGGACCTCTAATAATTGGGGAAAATGTTATGATAAAATCAAAATTACAGAATTCTTGTAAACTTAAAACTGACAGAACTGATCAACATGCTTGCTAAGTCAAAGATTTCTGCAAATAATGAAATAAAGCTTTAAGCAAAATAATCGATTTACGGTACTAAACGTTTCATCTGAAATAAAGTCGGTTATCAGTGCACAAATTTCAATCTTGAAGTTGCTTCCAAGGGCCTGTAACCAACAACATTACAGCACACCGCATCATGTCCATGTGCGCAGGTTTCAGATTTCAGGTTAATTTATTGACAGTCTCGAAATAGTCTGGAAATGGAACTACAGTACTGTATTCAAAATAAAATAAAAGTATATACTGTATATAAATTAGCAAGGTTAACCTGGTAAGAGCACCAACATCTTGATACATACATATTAGTAAAGCTTTTATCTGACTTGCTAAGAAATTTTGTAATTTTGCCTCAATGTACCAGTTTATTAAGGGAATAATTATGAGTTGACTAAGAGGCTAAAGGCACCATCAAGCCAATGCATTATGGAAATGTCATTACAGACAGGTGCTTGAAGATACAGTATTCTATTCTTCATTCCTCTATGTCTGCTGTATGTGCCACTTCCTTAATTTCTTCATTTACACTTCAGCTCATAACAGCTCTGCTCAGATTCCCATTTTATTAAACCACAGTTTTTCTTTAACATGCAGTCAACTTTTTTATTTTACCTTTACTGTATATTTTGGGGCAGTCACTATATATTAACATATAGTATTACACTTCAGTTCTTAAGTCCATATTTTATACTTACATAAGAATGTTATTCCAAACCAACACAGGACTGTCCTTAAAATTATCACAACATTTCCACAACTTTTAAAGCTTATTGTTATTACCATATACCAGCATACAAATTATTACAATTTCTTCAGTGGCATTTAAAACATCACCACTAACCCACTCATACTGTTTGCAGGTATGGTACTTTTATAGCTAAATTTTATTATTTACAGAAATTTATATGTATCATATGATTCACATTAATGAGAAAATTCGTAGGAGCTGTGGTGGGAATTCTAACCTATGCGCCGGGTGTTCCCAGACACATGCTCCGGATAACTAGGCCATGGGAATGGCCATGTCGTGGCCATGTTGTGGCCATGTCGTGGCCATGTCGTGGCCATGTCGTGGCCTAGTTGTCTGGAGCGTGTGCCTGGGAACACCCAGCACGTCGGTTCTAATCCTCATCACAGCTCCTACGGATTTTCTCACCGTTTTTCTTTTTCTCATCACGTTAGTGTGATTACTCTGCGTATTCATATTAATTTGACTGCAAACAGATAAATCTGAGAATATCCTTAGCAATGTATTTAATGCACGATAAAATAATGATATGTTAATGATTTTATAATGAAAGGATGTTTTGGCTTACCTTAACAGCATTGTCACTTTTGCTGCTTATCTTTGGTAAAGATGTGGTTTTTGCTTTGGCTGAAAAAAACAAATATATTTTAATAATAATTAAGAAACAATTTTCCATTGCAGGGTAAATGAGGGATGCAATTCTGTTGATACACTTAAAGAACAGTTGCATTATATATATATACCTACTTGTAAATGCAATGTTGTACAGTATTACATAAAATTATTAATAATTCGTTGAGTTATTAGGCAGCATTAGTAGTGAGTACTGTATATTTTGAGGTAATAGTACTTGACTGCTTCCTTAGCCACTGTCTTCCAGCAGGGCTATTAATGAAGGATGGGAGACACTGGAAATGTCTTTATCCAGTCTGAAATGAACTACAGAAGGTTCATACATCTACAGTACATTATAAAATAAAGTGTTGAATTTACTGGGTACTGAAATGTCCTTTCTTGGGTGACCATGGTACCACGGACATCCACAAACTATGAGGCCTCTGGATTTACACACACCTAATGAAAACCATGACAAGAATCTGCGAGTTCAAAGAGACAAGAGGAGCATGGAGAGCCGAGATTCCCTCATTACCGAGTAAATTGTCCAGTATAGGTAAATTGTGCTGTATAGGTAAAGCAAGAACCGCATACCTTGATGAAAGAGAAGAGATGGAAACACGGGAAGCAGTAGTTTCCTAATGTCTATAAACCATGCACTAGTATAAAGGAAGCCATATATAGCTAGGTAAAGTATAGAGGTAGGTTAAGGAGTTTATTATGAAGAATGCTTGTTAGAAAAGTGTAACAGTTCTAGTTAACGAGGTTGAAGATAACTTAACCCTTCCGCTGTGAAGTGTGCCCATGAGCACTACTGGGGCATCTGGGGTGTGTGCTGACCGTGCCTGTGAGTGCAGAAACATCTGGGACACTGTAGATAAAGCCTGCCAACATTTGGTTGGGCGTGTGACAGTCAGAGGTCTCTGGGGGCAGAGTGCCTATAGGCAGGATATTCAGGTTTATTCAATGTTATTAGTGATAACTGAATGATTTGTAATGCCAACAGGATTTCCCCTAATTGAACTTGTGTAAATGGTTGATGATACAACAACTCTGAGTTGCTGAAATTACAGTTTTTGAGAACGGAAGTACTGTATGTGCACAGTACTAGGCCTGAAGGGCTTGTAGGTTAGATTTGCTTTTACTTTCCCATAATCTAATTATGTCTTACAGTTTCCATACAAGAACAAATATTATTTACATCCCACCCCTTTATAACAATTCAATTTTTGAACATCACGATATTGTAACCTAATTAGGAAAAATCTAATTTTTTGTTTAATTTGTAAGCCAATATTTTTCTTATTTTACCCAAACTTGCCATTTTCTCCATGATTTCACAGTGAATTATTTCCAGATTTAATAAAAAAAAGGGGCTGCATATTTGGCAGCTCCAAAATAAATTCTGTAGGGGAAGGGTTAATGTTTGAAAGGCTTGTTGATGAGATCCATGATACTTTCAGACAAGCTGGTGAGGACTTAGAGAGGAAGGATATTGTGGACTGGTCAGAAAAAAGTAGCTACCAGGCCATGGTATGCTGACTGAAGATGAGATTATTCTGATGCCCAGCCCACAAATCTGTAAATAAAGGAAAGGCGATGTTTTGGTCCATTCTGGACCATTATCAAGATGTGTAATGTTAATGGTCCAAAATGGACTGAAAAGTCATCAATTCCTTTATTTTCAGGTTTGTGGATTGGAAGGAAGATGGAGGAAGGCGGAGGAGGAAGAAGCAGCACCACGAACTATAAAATAGTGACCATATATGTATTGATAAATTAATAAATTGTACTTCCAACCTTTTGAGTTTCCCTGTACGAAGAAGCTTATATCAGTACTATAGGTGGGAGGCAAAGTGATGATTATCAAAGAGCCTATTAAAAAGGAAACGAGCTAAAATACCTGTACATACAATTTTGGTTAGCTCTGAAAGCCAGCCAGACCTTCAACTAGGAAAGCCCGAGCATCTGGTCAAAACTGAGTACGCCAAGCACTTGTATAATAATTTTAGGGGTAAGTTAGATTAATGTACAGTACTAAACTCCTTTAGTTGTAATGTATATATAAATACATTTCTGTATTGTATTTATAATACAAAATTCTCATCTGAGGGTGCCCAAGACAGCTGACAACTCTAAGTTATAATTGTTGTCACTGTAGTTCCATTTTACTTATTTTTATAAAGATGTTACCATAATGTAAATCTATGTTTATTATATATGGAAATACAAATGAAACTGGTTGTGGTAAAATTTTTTTTTACATGTGCCATAAGAATGTCGAGAAACTTAGATCTCCATATAACTCGGCTGGGGATCTGCCTATGCAGTACATATTCCAAATTTAAAGAATAAATAATATACAGTATTAAAAAACAATTTCACAATTTAAATATTTTTATATTAAAATTAAATTGTGCAGATTTTTTATTGTGCAAAAATGTGCAATAATGTGTTCTGTTACTTGCTGCAAAAAATACCTTTCTTATTTCACATATTTTGCAATAAAATATAAAATGGCAATTCACTTATTTATGTGGTAAGAAAGTCATATTATCAACAACATACTGTACAAAAGTCTTCAGAATATGTCCGAGATGTTTGTTCATACAGTTGCAGAATTGCGTGCAGGGAAGATCATATATTTATAAACTTGTGTATGTAGGACACAGCAAGAGAAAAAATGGTCACTCACAGTAGTGGCCAAAAATAAATTATTTTTTTGACATGCTAATTTATTCAGATGTACTTTATTACATGCTAATTCATTCAGATGCTGATGAGTCACAACCAAACACCAACAGAAATGGCAGGGCATCTCTCCTTGATCTAGCTGTCCTTCCAAGGAAGTAGAGGGCCGAGTGAGAAGCAAACCATATGAGAACAGCCAGTCTCACAACTTTACAGTAGGCTCCATCCTTCAAGCAAATTACTGCAAAATTCAGGTCAAGATCTCACCTGATTCTAAATTCCTGCCATATTTTGTGAACAAAACATACACGGCAAATTGAATTCAGCACATAATGCTCCTACGAAAAATATAACATTAATTTAACCTTTATACTTTTCTTAATATGTTTATGACAACAAATTTCTAATCTGAACTTTATTCTTTACCCAGATCAGGTGTTTCTCTCTCAGTACAAGTGCATCTTGTATGATTAAGGGGATTATTAACTCGATTCATTCCTTCATGCTCCATTCTCACCTTCCTTTGAGAAAAAATTACAAATTACAAATAAAAACAAAATAAAAAAAGTCCTGCTGCTTTGCTTGCTTTTATAAAGCAGTACATTAATTGTACATCTGAAAGCTTATAAGGCAAATATATTGTTAAGGATGCTTTACCTTAGTTTAACAGTGCCTTACAAGTCATGCAGAAAATTTCATGCCAGCCATGAGAGAGAGAGATTATAGTCGAGACATTTAATTTTAACGTTGATGAGTGTTAAAAAATGAGACTTTGAATGTACAGATGGCCTGCGACTTGCGTGGTCTTGGACAAAATGTATTGAGAATTATTTAGTAAGCACATTTACACCAGGCTTTAAATTGCACAGGTATATTTCTGACTTAAGAGGGTTAAGAATAGATCAACATGGATTCAAAAATAATTAGCAGTAACCATCAGCAGTAAGCAAGGGGGGATCCCACACACCAAACATTCTTGTTTTTTTACACAAATTTTGGGGAGCAGTTATGCACTATTACACATCCCAAGCGTTCTAGCTTTAATTATGTATTGAATTTGTGGGTAAAAAGTGCCAGTACTGTACCATTATATATTATTGTAATATAAAGGTAGCTGTTTTATAGAGTAAAGATTAAAAAGTCAAGTATTGAATGTAACAAAATACCCTTTTCCAGTGGACCCTCATGTGCTTCCTTAGCTAAGAACTGGTCCAGCCAAGCCTTAGGGACATGTATCAGACCTCTGAGACCAACCCTTTCCTATTGGGAGCCAGGATCAGAATCTACCTCTCCATGAGACAAAGCAGGTTTGGAGGTCAGAGATTAACTTATGACCAAGAAACTAAAAATAAGCACAAGATAAAGGAACCTATTTGAAGAATATTAGGTTCCCAGAGACAATGAGGTAAATGATCATTGCCAATGAGTAGATGTCCCAACCGTGATGCACCCAACTGCCAACACCATCTAAGCTTAGAGTGGGGAGCTTAGCAGGAACTAAACCCAGTCACAAGCTACATGAATTAAATCCCTCCACCCCACGAGGAAAGGTTACAGTGAGGATGGGGAGTGACAAGGGTCTACCAAATATAAATGCTATTACATTTAACAGTTCATGAATCCAGCCCCTGGTTCCCAGTAGGCAAGTGTGGGTTTCTTGAGGCCTAGTGCATCTCCCTAAAGCCTGACTGGATAAGTGCTTAGTACAGGGAGCCACTGAGGGAAGCCCCCACCACCAAAAATTTAGAAGTGAAATTTTCTATTGTTTCATATTTTAGATTAATTTTAATTTTTTACAGTATTTGTATATTTTTTGCAGGGAAAACCACTGTGCAAATCGACGGCCACCTCTATTACTCTCCTTGGCTAGATACTCCTGATCCTTTAGATAGGATTATGCATGGCCAGAACAAGTTGTCATTCTGCACCTGGCACAGCAGGAATATTTCCCATCTGTTTCTGTTGGATCATACTAGTACTAAGGTTAGGTTAGATTGATGTGATAGGGTTAAAGATCTAGGCCAACCACTGGACTGATTCTAGAAGATTGGAGAATTCTCAATCCAACCTGGAATGACCTCCAGAAGGTAAATTAAAAATTAAGCATTTAATGTAATGAAACTTCTTTTTCTGGGAACATCAAGCCTTTGCTCAACACACAAGGACTCCCTTTCCTTAGCCTACTAGAAACTAAGACTATTATCTGCCTCATTCAACAAGGTTAGGGGAAACGGGAGCAGAGGCTCAGAGATCAGCCACAAAACTAGTGAAACAAAGAAAACAGTGGTGTAACAAAACATGCAACTGCTTGAAGGAAATTAGGCACCTTCTAGGAAAATAAAGCAAATACACGATGCTACAGGGTAAATAGCCTGTCTGATGAGCCTAATTGCCACCATATGGCAACTCAAGGTCACCTTAGGTCCTAGACAGCTTGTCCCTCACCAGATCTACCTATGTAAAAACCCCACTGAGAAGAAGGGAGCAGGATAGGGGGTGGGGACATAAAGCCACTTGGGGTCCACCAGAATAGCGGGTTTCCACTATATTCAACAGTTGATTTCTGGGAGAGACCCCTCATTGACGTCCAGAGCTTACTCACAACGGTGCAATACGAAAGGAGGCCAATTTTTGGAATAACAGAAAAGGAGGAGCATTTAATGTAATTTAAACCTGTAGGAGAGATCAGGAGAGAAAAGGGCAATAAGGGCAAGGGGGCACAGAAATGAAACTGCTCACAAAACAATCAAGCACACACAAGTGTAGCTAGACACACACCTAACAAAAGAATAAGAGGTCATCATCTGAAGGATCACTATAGGCTCTGAGCTCAAATACCTGCTGATAGGCACACACACATGGATGACTGATACCCTATAACACTTATCTCAACCAGGAGTCTAAAAATCACACCAGCTCCTGGCCAGAACTGGAACCAACTGAATACATACACCCACACCTGCCACCACCAAAACCCCAGAAACCCCAATGGAAAGTGACCAAGCAGACACCTGAATAAAAACCAAAACAGCAAGCCTGCATGAAGAGCAGCAAGAAAGCATACAACCATGACCCACTGGAGCAGTCAAAACGAAAAAACAGTGCTCAATATATTGAAACACCTCTGCTTGGTGAACCCTTGTTGCTAGCTATCTGGATACCTCCACCCAATTAAATATGCACCAGGCCCTTGCAAGCAATTGAAAGCCTACTGGGAACCAGAGACCAAAACCTGCCCCCCCCCCTCTATAGAAGCCTAAGGAGCAGGGGATACTAGATTACTCTAATCAAGAAAAGGCTACCAGAAAGGTGGGCGAGCCAAAACAGCCAATTAGCAAAATAAACAAAGCATAGAAAATGAGCAAACAAGTTTAATTAATTACACTAAAGAATCTGTCATTGAGCCAGGAAGATGAAAACCAAAGCCTCTGAAAGAAAGGGAGAGTCTGAAGACTACCAAGGACACACCAGAAAGAGATATTTCATTACATTCAACGCTGGGAGAGCTCCTAGGGTGGTTCCTTGTTGATGTGTATGTGACTTGAATATTCTTTTAATATACTGTACCTTTGGAAGTCATTCTAGGCTGGACTGAGAATTATTCTGCTTTTCCCTAGCACCTGTAAAACCCAACAGAGACAATTTTAATGGTTCCCTACTGTTGTAGTGCAGAACCTGCCTTTGCTGTGCATAATATTGTCAATGAGACCAAGAGGATCTTGCCTTAGGGAGCACAGAAATAAAAGAGCTAAACCCACCAACCTACCATAAATCCTGAACTCAGCAAGAGGAATGTACAGATATGAGCCTGGGAAGGGAAGAAAATCACTAAATATAGTACCAAAATTGTCTATTTTTTCCTTCTAAGGGTCTAGCTGCATTTTCCCCCAATATTAACTTCAAAATATTGTGTATTCAGATAAGAGCTCAATATATATCTAAAAATACATAAACCCAATATTTCATCTAAAGCCTTTAATTGTAAATTTTCCATTAAATGCTGGACAAAATCTCATCAAAATCTAGATTCTTTAGTTTATTGCTTGTAAAACATGACTGCAATCAATGTACAGTACCTAAGTATTAGAAACTGAACCATGGATCCACTTCCTAACAAATGAATGAACAATATATATAAACTACAATTTCCCCTTGTATTCCACAGATGATGCCAGAATCAGATAAAGAATAGAATCAATTAATGACACAAAGAAATTAACTAATGTTAATCAGCTATTCAGTTATTCCTAACTCTAATCTACAGGTAACTCGGCCAAAATCAAGGCCGAGTTTGACTATCTCTTGATTTGGGTAAAATATGTATTATGGAACTTGCCTGTCAGGTTACCTAATGATGAGTGGCAGTCTTTGTTTACAAACACATTAAAATATTGCTTAAATTACATAAAATTTATAACAAAATATATAATATAAAATATTACAACAAGCCATTATTGTTAGAAATATTATACCCGTATTTCCCTAGTAAAATAACTAACCATATGTTTCTGCATTCTTGTGTGATACATCAATGTGACACCCCCTATTAGAAGAATTTTCTTAACCGAAATATCTTCTTTAATACAAAGAGCTAATTTTTAGTGAACAAAATGACAGGAACAGCAGCAATCAACTTTAAGGTGCTAGTGATCCAGGTTATGGTACGATGACTGAAGACAAGATTGTTCAGAGCATTAATGATGAGGTGGAAGACTGTGAGGAGGAAGCTACAGCAACATACCCTTATCACACGCTTTTGATACATCGTACTCTGTCTTGTGGCGTCTCTACAACAGTATCTCCTGGCATCTCAGTACTCCACCCTTCCCATGAGCTATGGGAAGGGAAAGCTCTAAGCTTGCTAACAGGAGCCAGAAGTCATCTACTCCTGTACCCAATCATGTTGAAAACAAAAAATAAAAAAACTCTTCCTGAATTCTTGTATCTCCTAGTTACTTCAGAGTGGTTAAGCTGAGTCAGCCCTCTGACATATCCTACAGTCACTGATCACTGTACCTTTGCCACATAAAAGGCATTCGGCTCTTTTACGGCATGTGCCAACATCATTGCACGAGAGCTTTGAAAGACCACCTTAACGTATGCCTCTTGGTACCTTCTCAAGGTTCTCAGTCTGTGCCATTGGTGTGTTACCTTGGGCAGGCTTTCATCATGATGGCCATCTACTATGTAGATAGGATTGGATTCCTCCTGCTACTTCTTTCCCTGCAGATTTTATCCATGCCACTCTACCCTTCCTGTAATTTTAGGCAGCATCTGCCTAGGCTTGCCTTTGGGACAAACCGGTTGGGAGAGCTTAGAAACGTAGCTTTTAATGTAATCCACTTTGTTCGAGCAGTAAATCCTATCGCTCCCATCCTGGCAAGGATTTTTTTCTATCTTAGCTTTGGCTGCAGGAGGAAATGTGAGAAGGTGGGGTGAGGGGGGAAATATGTTGTAGTGAAGTGATGCTATCTGGTAGTGGTTAATGATACTAACCCAATGGTAGCTAAGCTGTCAGGATGCAGCTTAATTATGTGTTGCTAAATTGCACATGGGTAGGATTTTGTTGTAAGGACTTTTCTGTCAATAATCTGAGCAAGATTGAGTGTTCTCCAACATCTTTTCTGTCAATAATCTGAGCAAGATTGAGTGTTCTCCAACATCTCTCTAGCATCAGCATGATTCACCGAGGACAGTTCAAAAGGTTTCCCAAGTAATCCGAACCATTTCCCACATGCCCGAAACGCTACGCGTACTAGCTCTATCTATAAATCCAACATTATGTTTGTAAATCAACTATGTATGTACTTTTCCTGAATAAAAATTTATTTATTATTTATTACTTAATCGGTGCATAATGTAGACAGGCCGGACTGATGTTGATATTATTTCGAGGCAAGAAGTATTTTCCTTTTGTGACCAACCAAATGGAATGCTCAGAAAATATTATTTTCACACTTATAGCTAGATATTTTAGTTTTATATTTTCCTTAATAGCTTTCAGCCATCTAGAGTATAGGCTAACCAACATAATACCATAAAATTGGACAAAGTTCAATTAACCCCTTTACAGCTTTTGTATCATTTCTTAATTTATTTTCATCTAAACTCCAGTCCATTTGCTCTTTGCCAACACAAGTATATTTATGAATGCTGTACCTACCATGCTGTAGGTAGGCACAAAACCTACACACTGGTACCTGATCAGGTATACACGCATGCCTTTAATCATAGTTCCATTTTCATTCTCACTTAGAATTCCATGTACAGTATATAGCTCCTTCTAAGCTGTATCTCCCAACAACTGCAGTACTCACATAATTCATTAAAATTTATGTAAAACTGTAAAAAATATATATATACACCAAACTAGGAAAATATTTGAAGACAACATTGTACTCCAAGAAGCACTTGATGAGTCTTGCTTATACAAATGAGGACACTTACAGTACAGTATAACAAAATAGTAGTGAAATCCAAGTTTCCTGCTTCTCACTTAGCCTGTGGTAGTACTTCTGGACCCAAAAACAGAATGTTGTGTCATAACCTTCTGGCTACTGCACTAATAGTAGGGAAAATTTGCCTTAATTGGGGAGGGGAAAGGGGCTTAAGTAATAAATACAATTTGCCTAACTTATGCATCCGACTTGAGTTGGATATTAATGTTAAGATAACATCACACTTAAAATCCTACATTTTGGTATTATAGAAAATTACACAGAATATCTAAGTTAATCCTACTTTTGTCAGTATGTCTGGAGATCTTGGGTAGTCTTAGGCGTGGTAGATCAATTGCTGGAGCTAGAGACCGTCTAAACTTTGTCCCACCAGTCAAGGTCTTGGGTTTAATTTTTTCATTTCCATCAGATTCTGTTCCACAATCTAGGATATTGGGCAAACTTGAAGCCTTCTTGCTATCCTGCAACAGAATTTAAAAAACCTATGTAGTTCTGTATAATTTAAAGGACCAATTTGTAAGCAAGAACATGCAAGTCTATTATGTATCATATGAAGATGATTACTTAATACTAAAAGCATTCTAAAGTGAAATAATGTTTAAACAATAAATGCAAAAACATGGATGTATACACTAAATTCTTAGGCTCCCCTAAAAAATAAAAATAAAAACAAGTATCAAGAAGTGTCTAGTTAACACTGTTTCCCCATGTGCTAAACAACAGACCTACCACCTATTGTACATTTGTTTTACCACAGACAAAAATTTTGCCCTCCTCCCACTTCCTCCTCAAAGAGAAAGAATTGTTCAACCAGTCCTAAACACTGATATACTCTTCTAACCCCTTTTAACAAGTCCTGTACCTTACACCTTCTACCTCAAAGGTGTTCAAAGTTACACAATGACAAATTTATAAAGCATCCTGCACATTGCCATATTTCTTTTGATCATCAGTATGCGTTTTGTTACACAGTTCAAATGTCGATCTTTTTCTTACCTCACTCATGTTAATCAAACCTTGTTTTGTGATTATGACAAGTCTTTTACCACAGAGCTAGTTAACACTTTCGCCCGGGCATGACGCAGCATTGCGTCATCCGTTTACTGTCGGTAATACCGGGGATGACGCAGCATTGCGTCATCCACTTTAAATAATCGCCAAAAATCAGGTTTTTATCCGATTTTTTGGGGACTGGCTTTAAAATGTGCGCCGATGTCTTCCCATTTTCTTTGTTGAGCCTCGTGGCCCTCAGATGGCTTGGCACACGCCGTGGGCCCATTGTTTTCGCTCTACTGTTGTGACCAATGTTGCCTCCCCTTGCATCTCAAACGTGTGAACATTTCGGCTATTTTCCGTGGCTATATTTCTTACTGCGGCTTTAGAAACTATCTACGCTTACTCCATGATGGATAGTGATCATGAACAAGGCCCTTCCAGGAAGAAAATTGCGAAAGAAAGGCTTGAAAAGGGAGGGAATTGGGAGTGTAGCTGGAAGGCGTCTGAGCGCTCACTCGCGGCTAACGTGTGGCCCGTCTTCTACTCGTCGGCGGTTGGAGCGTGACCAGGTTTTTTTATTTTATATGCTAATGTTCCTCTAGATAATTCTATTGCGAACCCATTGAGACCAAAATGAAAGACCTAGGACAAAAATTGAGGTGACCAGAGTGAAAATAGTGAAAACATTTTATCGCTTTTGCGCGCTCCTGGGTAACTCGTTCGCACTTTCTCTGTTTGCTGCGGGTAATTAGCCGGGCTTTTGAAGTTTATATGCATTTAGTGCTGTAGAGAATTCTATTGCGAACACAATGATACCAAATTTAATCTCGTAGGACGAGAATTAAGGTGACAAAGTTGAAGAGAGTATACACTTTTCAGAATTTTTTACGCGCGCTCCCGTGACACCCTGGGTCCCATATCGCACAGTTGAGGGGTGGCGCGTGGGGTACGCCAAAGTGTTAATGTACAGTGGAACCTCAGTTGCCGAACGTCCCTCTTTACAAATTTTTTGGGTTACAAGCTCAAGAACCTTTGTAAAATTTGAATCAGTTTACGAGCATTGCCTTGCTGATAGACGTATGGATCGACCGAGCGCGTGGTTCCTGGTGGAACGGGCGACTGCGCTTCAGTGATGATAGTACAGTACTTAAATTCTTTGTAAAGAATTTTATTGTTTTCAGCTTTTTTGGTTTCTAAACAAAAGTAATTATTAAATACCATGCCATGGGACCCAAGAAAGCCAGTGGTAAGGTTCAACCTAAAAAAACACATGTGAGGATGACCACAGAGGAAAAATAAGTCTCTTTGGAAAGGTTCTTAGCGATACAAACAAGAGGTGAGCCACAACCAGGTCCTAGTGGTATGAAGGCAAAACATAGGAGAGAAGAGTACCCCAGAGAAGTCATCACTGCCTGATGTTATAATGTAAGGGGACTTCCCTTTCAAATGCTAACACATCTCCTCCTCCCCTCCCCCCCTTCCTCACCGTCTTCCATACGCCAACAAGAGCCATCAGTACAGGTAAGCTATAACTTGTGCATATTACAGTACAAAATATCTGTGTGTATTATGTATGAGATGTATTTTTAAGTTAATATTTTTGGGAGTGTGGAACGGATTAATTTAATTTACGTTATTTCTTATGGGAAAAATAATTTCAGTTTGCGAATTTTTGGTTAACAAGCCATCTCTTGGAACAGATTAAATTTTAAAACCATGGTACCATTGTATTTACAAAGTTTAAGACAATATACAGCAGGAATTTATATTCCTCAAACTGCTATCATTAAACAATCTTCCACCACCTGTCTGTAAATTTCTAGAAACTAAACTAGAAACTAATATCTAGTTTCCTCTCTAAATAGACAGCTCAATTGCTGCTCTTTCAACATCAATTGTGGTGATCTGCATTATTCTGCTGCACCACATTTTTTTCTTATTATTCATTAACATTATTCTTTACAGCACTGTGAATATTCTTTACTTGCATGGTGTGAAACCACTCTTCCTCCATTTTCTGCAAATATCCACATACAATAGACTGGGCCTATTCCAGCCGAAAACTCCAGTACAGTACTCCGAACACTAAAATGCTTTTAAGGCAAAAATTTAAGAAATTTAACTTTAAGGTTCATGAGATAAATAGGGTTGTTGTGTGTATGGGAACACAAAAAAGTAATTTTTTAAAATTTTTATTCAATAAAACACCTTCCACTCTCCATAATTGCTCAGGACGTTCAATGATGCAAGAATTCAAAACGTTCCTAAAATACAAGACATGAGGCATGTATGGTAGCACAAGACACTACAGAAAATGCAGTAGACTACAGGTCATTTGGCAATCTATGCTAAATTTACGTAAGTGAAATTCATCAAAATCTGACCCAGTACAGTACTGCATAAAAGTAATTACCCTATACCACTAAATTTGCATTTTCCAACACCAGACAGATTGAGGGTTGCTGTACAGCAGCAAGGTTCCAGACCAAAGGTAATGCATGATTGTGTAATGTAACATGGTGAAAAAAAAAATAAAAAATAAATACATATCCACATTTCCAAATAATTTTGAACAAATCATATTTTCTGAATTCTTGAAAATAATCCACAGCAGGAGAGTTAAAATACTGGAAGGAGAACAAGACCTGATGTGGTTATAATGTTTAAAGTACTTAGAGAAAGAGAAAGAAAGAGACAAAGTAGACCAAGACAGAATGTTTAAGAAGGGTAAAGAACACGGATAGAAACTGTAAACACAAATGAGTAACAAGGATGTAAGGAAAAATGCCTTCAGTGCATGAGTAATGAAGATATGGTATGAACTGAGGCAGTGGAAATTATTTCAATCTGTTGCTTTACTAGTAGATATGAAAGTGGTGTTGCACCATTTACCTGAAAGTTAGGAGACGGGGCCCAAAGAGTTCATCCTTCCTACTTGCACGCTAACACAGGCAAGAACAAACAGGCATGCAGTATACTATTATTTTTTGTTGAAGTCCCCTTTTGAGGCAGACAAAATATTAAAGCTAAAATGTAAACAAATTTCTATTACTGCCAGCACAAGGCTCAAACATCTTACACTGCTGCAATCATTAAAAGTGCTCGCACTAAACTATTAACACTCTTTAAGGTCTCGTTCCCAGTCTGAAATAAGTACTCACATACTGCAGTATGTAATACTGTACAATGTAAGATTCAATATAAATTCAATAGGGAGTAGCAGTGTCAATGTAGAAGTCTTCTAGGAAGAACCTTGAAGGCTAAGATTGTGAATGGTTTTTGACCACCCAATTAATAGTGGTTATACTGGATTGTGAGTGACTAAGAGCAATAGCCTGGTTAATCAGTCATGTCTGGTCAATAATATTACAAAATCTCAAATTTAACCCTCAAGAAATCAATGAAGATTGTGAAGTGTTAATAAGCACTTGAAACAAAAGAAAGACTAATTTAAAGCTCTGTAACTGTGTTCAGTAGTAATCTCATGAAATCCAAGATAACTTGTAAGGCAGTCCTGGAGGTGCACCGATAACACACTCACCCTACACCTCACGAGCGATTTGGTCTAGGTTTAAGTTCTGGCCAGTGACGATTGACAAGGCGTCAACCTCTTAACTGTTTGCCTCTGTTCACATAGCAGTAATTGGGTACCTGGTTGTAAATCAATTGGTAGGTCATGTTTCATGGGGAAACTAGTGAGAAAGGTTTACCATGAGCTATGGTAAGGTAAAGCTTTAAGCCTGCTAACATAAGTCACAAATCGCCTGTTTTCTGTACCCAACTGTGTAGAGTGGGGGAAAAAATCTTGAAAAATGCTAGGAAATTTGTTGAAACTCAAAAATAAATCATGGGTTGCATGTGATTAAACTATTAAAATTTGCTTGGCTTCTTTTTTAATACACTTTAATGCTACCATGCAAATTGGTCACTGTAGAATTACTCTAAAAAGCCCTTATCACCATTTCTTATGTATCTATTTATTAAAGCTTACTTATACTGCACAAAATCAATTCCTTTCACTATCTCAGCCCACTTCCTCTGTTACTTATTCTTCCTCATTTTACACACACGCATTTTCATCACCTCATTTCCCACTTACATGGAATGGGAAAAATTAAGCTGTATACCATACAACTTTTAGATATGAAGTAATCAAATAATAAAAGTGTCACTGATCCATCAGAGATCCATGATCCTGTATATTATCATTGACAATCAAGTATCAGCGCACCTCGGTAGTTAGCCACAGCTGTGCCCCTTTAAAAGCCTCGTACCATGAGCATCCAGCTTTATATTTTTGTCTGCACTTTAATCCTATACTGTACTCATGTATCTGTTAGTTAACAAGTTCAGAATAAAAGCCTTCGCTCATCCACAACTTGTGGCAATAGTAATCCGTGCCGTTATATAAAATATTAGCAACAGGAATGGGTGTATAGTAGTACAGTAGTAGCAGTAACCCAACCTATACATAAAAGGAAGGACAGAGACAATGTTTCAGTTCATCCTGGAGCCTTATCAAGACTTGATAAGGGTGCAGGACAGACTGAAACATCATTACTTCTCTTCTTTTCATGTGTGTGTGTGGAGGGGGGAGGGGGTTACTAATTTAAAGCCATGTTATTGTGACCCATTATCTGCACACAGGATATAGTCTACCAGCAGAGAGCAAGTGATACTCTAGACCTGAATTTCCAATATCAATATGGAAAAAATATGGCACATAATATTTGTATTTGTCATTTCTAATTATAAACTATTAAGTATGTTTTCGGAAAGCCTACTTTTATTGCTGTATATTTTTCCAAATCCGAGTCGGCCAATGTCGTGATTGAAACTGTCAAATTTGCTGGCTGCCAGTTCATTATGAAAACCCTGTAATCCCCATTAAAATACACTTATCAATGATTTTTATATTTTCATTTATTATAGCTATAATACATAGTTATATATTACATTATAAGGCACCTACACACATCAATTAAGCATACTGTATGGAACTACTATTTGGAACAATCATGCAGGCTGCAATGACAAAGATTTACTCAACTAATTGCTCTAAAAGGCCTCTCATATTTCTGAATAAACACTAAATCAAATTTAGCTTTATTTCAAAATATGATCAAACATGCAGTTGGAATACAGACATACAAAAATGTTATAATTTCACTGTACAAACCTTGGACTGCAAATGAGACTCATATTGATCATCAGCACTTCCAAGGGTGTCAGCACTCACTTGCTTATTTTCAAAGTCCAGAATGAAGTATGTATTTAGCCCTAAAACAGAGGAGAACTGTTACTTTTTTTGTATCTTTCTTTCCACGCATCAACAATATTTGTACCATCATATAACATGTGCTTTTAAAAATTACACCAACATTTCATGGATGCTGTATGAAATAATGTTCATACATATTTATAATACAAATAATTGATGCATAACTGAGGATAGTTATGTACTGTAGCAGACAGGTAGTGCCCATCATCTGGATGGGAGAGCCCCCAGTGCCCATCATCTGGGTGAGAGCGCCCCCAGTGCCCATCATCTGGGTGGGGGAGCCCCCAGTGCCCATCATCTGGGTGGGGGAGCCCCCAGTGCCCATCATCTGGGTGGGGGAGCCCCCAGTGCCCACTATCTGGGGAGGGGAGCCCCCAAATGTCCATTACCTGGGAAGGGGGCCCCAGTGCATTGCTTTGTCCAGGGCCTACAATGCTAAGGGGCCCTGGGTTGGTAAGCAGGACACAAAGAACTACCGCACTTTCCTGTTGACACCTATGAACACACTCGTCACTTCTCCAGTTTCTTAGGCAACCTACTCAGTCATCGCTAATGAGGTGTTTTTTTTTACCATCGACTGGCAAATACTCTATGCCTATTCCACTATCTACAATAAATTTATTGAATAAACATATCAAATTAAATCAAATCAAAAGCATTATTCATAAATGGTTGTACATTTATAATTGGGAAAGTTTATAGGAAAATTACAGTACCTGTACATTTATTTCCTAAGTGTGTGTCACAATAACAGTAAAGTAGATATTATCATTATTAAGTAATGGTAATGTCTTCTCACAGACATAACATAGGATAAAAACCTACACTTGTGTGTTTGTGAAATTTATGTAAAGAATTTACACCAATTCTTTCCCATTCTTCTGAGTGTTTTGTCAAGGTCTGAGTATGTGGCTAAGACGAGACTTACATCTCAGTGTCTAATCAAACATTGATTAAACACTGAATATGTTGTCAAGATGAGACTTAACAACATATTCAGATCTTGACAAAGCACTCAGGAGAGTGCAAAAGAATTGGTGTAAATTCTTTACATAAATTTCACAAATACACAAGTATTGGTTTTTATCCTATGTTGTTATTATTATTTACATTAGAATCAAACTTTATTTGTAACAGCTGATTCAAATCATTAATGATTGGACTTCTTCCAGTATTCTATCTTGTACTATTCTTACCTTACATCATCAAATCTGACTACAATATACTTACAAACACAAGTCCCCTCATCTGACTTAACCTTTGCACTGTGCAAACTGAGATCTTCAGTAATATACTCACATGCTTACTTTTAATATTTCTTATTAACTCTACTGCCAATTTTATTGGCGAACTTCCTCACTTCTTTCAACCACTGTATACAGTATTTTCCCTTCAAAAATGTATTAATTTCTACTTTCTAGCCCATCATTCAATACTGTATTAATTTTTGACTGCAATATTAGTCACAGCACACACCTATAATTATAATTCTTTGTTTCTGCTTCTGTTCTTTCTTCACTCTGCATACACAAGTTTTACTTTACTTTTTTTCCTATTTGTTTGTGTACTGTACTTTCATTCTGCAGCATTTACATTTTCATACATCTTCACTTGATATTGTCACAATAAAAATCTATGTAATTCTAAATAATGTTTTCATACCTTTAACAACTTGTCCGTCTACAGTAATATATGTATCTTTGGGTAGGAACTTAAGGGTGGCTTCTGATACATGAACTTGACCTGGCCTTCCTGTTGACTCCATTTCATTGGCAAGACTCACATCATTTGACCAAACATCAAACTTGAAACGCTTTGTTCCCACAATACCACATAATACCTGTAAAACAATTATTTGTATCAACACTTAAAGAAATAAATAACGATCATAATATTATAATAATTACAGTCTGCTGGTAAAAATTAATGAAGTTTGAATAATTAGTGGAACAGCATATTACAACTACAAGTACTGTTGTGCAACAATGGTGAAATACCAAATTAAAACCTTAAAAATAATGTAGCCCTAAGATGCCTCAATAAATTCTTTTCATATTATATCTAAATTTCAGTGAAAGATGCTTGCAAAACCCATAGAGGCAAAAGCCATCTTAATGAAGTCTACTCACACCTTGGTGCTTCTCTACATCGTTGCTAGCACTTTGTGCTCTCTTTAGCCAAGCAGGCTTCTATGTGGGGACAATTGATAACAATACAGGAACAGCACACAAATTCCATACGTTTTCCCATTAATTACAGCAACAACTGACCACTCGAGTACAATTTTATATTAAAAGCAGTGAGGTACATGTGTCCATGGCTTCATGTCCAATTTTTTTTTCTCTTTGTCTTGGCTATTGTATATGCCAAGCATGAAGCAATTATGCACAGAATTATAAAACATGATTAAAAGTCAATGAATTAAACTGGCAGTAGGCAAAACATGGAAACCACATTTTGTGGGGGGTTTGCAAGAAGGTAACCCACATGCTACTTCAGGGATACCTGTACTGTATTTTGAATAATTCAGAAAGACTATAATATCTCACCTTGCCAGTATGAATTCCAACTCGCATATTGACATTTTCTTTGGTGTCGGTGTCAAATTCCTGAATTGCATCAATCATATCCAATCCCATGTTAACACAACACTCAGCATGGTCTGGTCTGGGCTCAGGGCAGCCACTAACACTGTAATAGCAGTCTCCAAGTGTACTAATTTTTTCACAGTTATTTTTCTTGCATAGGACATCAAATCGGCCAAACAAATCATTCAGAAGACCCACAAGCTGTTCTGCTGTCTGAAAAAAAAAAACATTAAAAATGTCATAAAAATTATTCTATGTATTGACATTTGCCAAAGCTACATACCTGCCAGCACCATCATACAAACTAAATTCGACATCAATGAACAAATATAGTGCTTGCTCGATTAGAGTGTTAAATTTTTTTTGTACTATTAGATAAAATATATATGCAGTCGACTTCAATACTGTAAAAAAACATCATCTACAATAACTCAATTTGTACAGCATTCATGAAAATAAACAGCATTAACATAAAACAGCCAATTTCCTATTTCTCAAATACAGTATTAAACAAATGGCAAGGAAATGGAATGGTCAATCGTCTGTATGGATATATATAGTTCATCTTACTTTGTTGGAACTCATCCGTGTAAAGCCAACAATGTCAGCGAAGAGAATACTGACGTTGTCCATTCCATGCATGTTGAATGGCCTGAAGAGTGTCTGGATATCGCCTGTATGAGATGTTCTCGGTGATGGCACCTGTGGTAAATGGCAACATTTGTATACAGTAGTAGACATATATACTCTGCATCAACTTGCTGAAAAATGAACAAACAAGGTATTTCAGTACTGTAATGCAGTAACTCATATCTGTGCCCAGCAGGTCTTATGAGTTCTGGAAATCCCACAAGGCATTACAGTTATTTTTCAGGATTCAATTGAACAATGAACTGGTTAATTAACTATGTATGAAACATCAATTGCCAAATGCAGAAAACCTATTTTGTTCCCCCTTATTTATCAAGGACATTATCCGTCTTGAGACTCGTGCTGAAATATATGCATAAAATTAAGGATATGGCAGTTTTTAGCATTTTGTTGCCATTTTTATTTGTTTATCTGCCACATTATCCATGTCTTGTCTAAGTTGCAATGGATAGTTGAAACAAAAAATTAAATCTGCAGCAGACAATGTAAGCTACTTTACTACAGTCCTTTAACAACCAAACTGGACCCCATCAAACAAGCAACCAACAATATTGATATATTAATGGCAAACAAGTCAAGTTTGCCATTAATATCATATCAGCCACTTTCAACACCAATTTAGACACACACACACACACACACACCAACTAACTTAACACCACAACACCAACCACAGTTCCAATGCTAATTGAAAACTGAAAATGTATGGGATTCCTACCCCATACCCTACTCCCTACTACTACCCACCTTTCCTTTCTTTATATGTATGCATTATTAATGTTTAACTTCCATAAATCTACCAAAGAGTGACCAAAACCTTTAGTGAATTTCTTGTACAATTCTGCCCTGTGTGATATGGAAACCTGCATAAGGAATCAAAAATTACACAAAGAATCATTGCCAGTACTGGTATGACTGCCTATTTCTATGCAAGTGATTGCACTGGAAATAAATGAACTACTACATCTGATCTGACCCATCCACACTAAGCCACTAGTCATGATAACTCTCCTCTAGAGTTAAGAATAGCTGCCAGCTGGGAGGTGAGGTACCCCTGACTTTGGAAGGGTGATGTGTTGCCTCAGCAAGACATACCGATACACCCAATGTAACAAGCACATCTCCCTTTTTCTCTCCAGCTTGATGACTCATCATTATCTTATTTTAAGTATAATTTTCCATTAACATAATAACTATACAAACATTCACTAGTTTTAAGTAACCGGAATTAGCTTAAGATTTCTCGTACTTTCATGAACACCTTAGTGTGTTCTACTACTAATGTTCTATGTATAATGTAACCATCGTGTTACATACAAGACTTACCTGATATGCCGTGCATGTATTTGCAAAATTGTACTCCATTCTGACACTTTTATCATTTGAAATTAATTATAGCTATCCACAATATTTATATGATTATACTGTATGCATATACCAAAGCTGTAACAAAATATTATGCATGCTTTTGAAAACAAAGATCCCCATGAACTGTACTCAAAAATATTTTAATCATGCAACAGCTGAAGTGCAGCGTTTCCCCTCACTCTGCAGATGAAATGCATTCTAATGGTGAACAACTTACATTTCTCAGTATGGCACCATCTTCTCCATAATTGGCAGAGTCTTCATTTTCCTCAGCGAGAGTTTCTTTCATGAGCCAATCAGCTACTTTAGGAGGCATTACCGAGTGAATCATTTTCTCCTTCAGTGCCTTCTCTACCTCTAACTGGCCTCGGACTAGCAACGATTGTCCAATGCTCATGAAGGTACCACGCATCCGCACCTGAGATTACCCAAGAGTCATAGAAATATGGTATCATATCAGTACGTACTCTTTTTAAAACAAAGTTCAATACCACTGATATGTAAAGGACCATTCAAAATAATATTATTTGTGGAACTAAAATTAAAACGTTTACTCAAGACATAATTTAACCATGGCAATTTTTCTCATATGTTCATTATGTAATTTAGCCTTCAAATTTTAATAAAAAATTATAAAGGATATACATTCGTGCATAACATCAAATGTATATCTATTATATGCTGTTGTAATCAAGAATATTCAATTCTTACACTCGAAGTTCTAACTACGTTTTAGTTCTACTCTAACTTTTGGTCAATAATTCTTGCATCAAATGTTTTATTTGTTATAGCAATTGTGAATGTGTCATTAGATTTTTTTTAATTTCCACAACTATTTATTGTAAGAAAACCCTTATGATGACTTCCTCTCTTTAAATCAGTGTTGATTATCTATACAGGTAGTAATAAACAGAGAAATTATTTTATAATTTTATATCATAAATATCTATAATAATTTTTCAATTGATTTTCTGTACAATAGACCCTCATTATTGCACACATATCCTGCAGTATGAATTTTATGTAGTGCAACCATGTTCCTTAGCACACAACAATGCCACGAGCTTGACCTAGTGCTTCACATGGCATGAGCTTGACCTAGTGCTTCACATGGCATGAGCTTGACCTAGTGCTCCACATGGCATGAGCTTGACCTAGTGCTTCACATGGCATGAGCTTGACCTAGTGCTTCACATGGCATGAGCTTGACCTAGTGCTTCACATGGCATGAGCTTGACCTAGTGCTTCATGTGGATGTAGCTGGAGTGTCACATGGCACAAGTTGGAGTTTTAAGTGAATGGAGTTGGTGTTTCACATAGTAGGATCCAGAACTGGCATTTCTTATTTTACACATTTTTTGGATTATACTCCTACATATCTTGAGGTTATCTTTGAGAAGATTTCGGGGCTTAGCGTCCCTGTGGCCCGGTCCTCGACCAAGCCTCCTTTTTGTCACCCCCACCCAGAAAGCAGCCTGTAGCAGCTGTCTAACTCCCAGGTATCTATTTACTGCTAGATGAACAGGAGCACCAGGGCGAAAGAAACTCTGCCCATTTGTTTCCGCCTCCATCGGGGATCGAACCCGGAACCTCAGGACTACGAATCCGAAGCGCTGTCCACTCAGCTATCAGGCCCCTACATTTTGCAAAGGCAAAAGTGTATAATATGTACCCGAGCCTGATTGTACTGTACTGTTATTTCCCTGTATATAACTGCAAGGTCATTGGTACCGAGTATTACATGTCCGAGACACATACAATAATGAATAAATATATCAAAACAACTGCAGAATTTTTCAAGATATATCTCATGGATAGAAATGGATGTAGACTTTTATATGAATATAAATAAATATACCAATGCAGATATCAAAAGCACAAGTACACGAATAGCTTGTATGTTTAACAAACAATATCTGTTGACTTCCCTATGCCTATAAAGGGGGCCAAACCTGTATAAAAACTTTAAAAAAACAATGCCCCTTTACATTATAGGGACACATACTACATAAATAAAATGATATAATGAAAGTATGTAATCCCATACCAAATCTTATTGTAGAAATTCTGTGTATAAAAATTGTCTCACCTGAGTCATTATCATAATGTGTGCACCAATTAGGTGGATGCAGATGTGCAGGCCTATTCTGACACCTATCAGAATTGCCTTATGATCGACGATGAATCCATTAATGAACTCAAAAGTAATTGAGTACAGAGTTGTCACAGTCACAGTCAGATACAGTGGCAGGGGAATGACTGTGTAGATGAGGAGCAATACCTATGGGTGTTTAGAGAGAGTTTCAACATCATTATTTTGCAGAATTCTTTACTCCTTAAGACACAAGATACGTTTACCATTAACATTGTAAAAATAAGTAAAATCTAAAACAAGAAAGATGAAGTGCATAAAGCCTTTTAGAAAGTTCAATCTAAAATATGTATGTAACGAATGACCTGGGAGCCAGATTCACGAAACAGTTACGCAAGCACTTACGAACCTGTATGTCTTTCCTCAATCTTTGGCGGCTTTGGTCACATTTAATAAACAGTTTACAAGCGTATTGGCCAATCAACTGTTGTTATTGTTATAAACAGCCTCCTGGTGCTTCGGAGCTCATTAATTGTTTAATAATTGTAAATAAAGCTGCCAAAGATAGAGAAAAGATGTACAGGTTCGTAAGTACTTGCGTAACTGCTTCGTGAATCTGGCCCCAGGCCTTCAGCCCTATATAAAAAAAATTGCACATCAATGTCTACTAATGTTGATACTTTTCAAGTAACAAGATGATCCATCCAAATTTATATACCTGTCAAAAAGTTATTCACATACAACTCAATTTTACTCATTCAACTGAAAATCACTCGGAGGTTTATGCACACGTACAACTATATACAGTATGTGAATTGATAACATGAAGCTAATCAAGAAAGGCATCACCAGGCTGGCAAATCTTGGGGACAAGAACAAAGTGGTGTAATAAGTACACACACACACACACACACATTGTGCTATAATTATAGGGTGCTGTAATACAGGGACAAGGGAGGGTTATGAGTAAAGATTGGTGGTTACCTATTGGTGTTTACCCATCAGTGACTACAAAGAAAGAGAGGTCTAACTCTTCATGTCCCCCTCCTCTTAGCCAGTCATACCTGGTGTGCTAATTACCTTTACCCATCTCAACTCTAATGTTTTTCCTCATATTTCATTTTAAAGTTGTGGATGGAACTGGCTTCACCAATCTGGAAGGGGCAAAGGAAATAAGAAATAAAGATGTAGATTTCATGATGCTAGACGGTACTGTATCTGGTACAGTAATTGTGATAAGAGAGACTGCGGTGCCGATAGACAAGAAAATTTCAACATTTTAATTTTAAAGGTAATGCCTTATGTACACAGTGTGGCTTATGTATCTTATGCTTATGGTACACAGTGTGTACCACTGGTACAGCCAGTGGTATACACTGGTGTACCAGAGAAAGACTGCCAGTCTCAAAGCATAACTGGTTGCCAGATATGAAACTGTTTATTTTGATTGCACTTGCATTAGGAACACAAGCACAGAATGTGTTGCAAGACAACTTGTGGCGTTGAATCCTAATGGAAGTAGCCAGGTTGTTTCCCTAGTCAATCATTTAGTTTTCATTATTTTTTCCAATATTTTGACTATTACACTTGTCAATGATACTGATCTATAACTGAGGGAAAAGGGGGGGGGGAGGAGGTCTTCCCTGCTGCCACTTTTATAGATTGGAACTATGTTAGCTTTTTTCCATACATCTGCTAGGAATCCTGTACACAGGGATGCCTGAAAAATCAGTTGAAGTGGAATGCTTAGCTCAGTTGCATATTCTCTTGGAACAAACGGTGAAACTCCATCTGGCCCACCCTAAAAGTGGCACCCATGTTGATGGTCACCTGGTAGAGGGTCAAACAGCAGAAAAGTGGCCTGCCTCCAAACTCTGCTCTGGTTCTCCTACTGACAATAAATCCCATGCCATGCATGACAAGTCTTAATGTTAAGAAGGGCTATCAATTGATATAATGTTGGCCAGCTCGAGTGATAAGTCACGAGTAGAAGGGATTAATGTGCAATTCTGTGCATTTGTATATGTACTTTCTTAGTGACAGACAGCAGCAGGGAAAAACTCAATCTAACACACACATACCTCTGGTTCTTTGATCCTACAATGATCTCTAGCTACAAATGATCTACTCTAGCCAACAGTTACACTGTAGCAGCTAGTCAGGTGAAGCTACTTTCCTTCTCTGACTCACTCTTCTCTCAAATTTGATGCACAGATTCCAATTTTTTTCCAACAATACATTAGGACAATTAACTATATAATATTATTTCTTTTACACATCTCATAATCAACATTGCCTTCTCTCTCTCCACCACAGTAACATATTTTGGTCCATATTCACTTTTAGCAGCCATCTCTTATACACGTATCAATAAAAGTTTAAACTTACCTACATAAATCTTCATCATTCTCAGGTACAAAGAACTGAATCCTTTGCATACATCAAACCTGATGTACTCCAATCCCTTAATCATATACTGGATTTACACCGTGTAATATTCTTACTTTGATAGATCTCTTAATTCCTGTACATGAACAGTATATATATGTGGCATAATTAAGACAATTTACTTGTCAAGAGTTCGCTAATTTTCACTGCAATTGTGTAAAGCACTAGCATCCATTTGTATCAACACCCTGAACAAAATTAATCCATAATTTTTCCATAATTTATCCTCCTCCATAATTTATTACAAGTCTGCAGAGCAAATATTTGCCTTAAAGACTAGAATATAAAGCACAAAAAGTATTATATACAGTACTTACTTCAATGCAAATGGCAAACATTGCCACTTCCGAGAGATCAGGAATCATCTCGGAGGATGACTGATGTAGTGAATATGGCAAAAGGCTCACCAACATCAGGGATACGGACATGACTACAGACACAACTACCTGATGACTCTGTTAAAAGGACAATCATAGCTTAAATGGATAGTATCATTCATATCAACTTCACAGACATAACACAATGGAATAAGAATGATAGCCACATGGGACAATTTACCATGCACCCTAAAAACTCATGAAAAAACTTAATGAACATCTACTTGTCTAAGATTAGCCCTTGCTACCAAGTGCTAACTGTAGCAAGTGTATGCACTTGCTACAGAACATCTACTTGTCTAAGATTAGCCCAACTGTATGCCAAGTGCCAAGGTAGCAAGTGTATGCACTTGCTACCTTATCTGCACCTAATAACAATTTCATTATTGTTAAAACAAACACACACATTCAAGCACTGTGGAGTGAATGGTTAGTACACAAATGAAGATTTGAAATGAAGTAACAGCAGGATGGACAAGGCGTGTGTTGGTGCCTAGTGAGCTACATGTGTGTGTGTGTGTGTGTGTGTGTGTGTGTGTGTGTGTTTTATACCTACCCTTCAGAACACACAAATGAGAACAGAAACTTTTTGAGCTATATTTTTGCTGGATATGAGCTTGTCCTACTACAGCTTGTTTTAAACCTGACCCTATAGGTTTTACCAAGAATACAATCCTTCAGTTTATTCACATCCATATTCCCAATTACTGCCAAGTGCACAAGGACAAATGGAGTGAAGAAATGTTGCCCAGGATTCAAACAAGGTTCATTTCACTAGCACAGCAAGTTTCAAGTCCATGTTCCATTCAATAAAAAGAATTTAAAAAGGTACAAAATAAGTACCTAAATAGAAGAGAAATCTTTTTGAGAAGACTTTTAATTAATACAGGCCATATTATATAGGATATTCAGTACGAGGAAAAACCCTAGAAAGGTGGCGACATCTCATTGACACTAAAAGCTGCTAACATAGCTCCACTTCACAAAGGAGATAGTAAAGTAATAACCAAAAAGCCAAGATATTATAGTGTTCGAAAGTACTTTTCGTCCAATGTCAAACAATTGCAATCACCAATGTTAGAACCACAAACAAAAATCATTCAGAGCATACAATGTATACTTGATATGAACACAGCCACCATCACCTTCCACAGCAAGTTCATATTAAACATGTGACTACACATCACATGCAAGGCATCTGTATGCCAGTCTATTATTACTGTACCATATATGATACTTATTTCCCTGAACTGAATTGTGCTAGACATTTTCAACTCCAGCTGAACATCTTATCCGCAAGAACATCTTATCTGGTTGATCTGCTACCTACTGTACCATTGGTTTGACTCAATGGAACCACATAACTGATGTTCTGAAAATTTCCAACACGTTTCCCATTTGTGTGAAATCATCTCTCACACGGCTGCCCTAGTTGGTGTGTGCATGTGCCTGCAATGTATGCATGTGTGTGTGTGTCTAGTGCATGTTTAATCAGTGTTGTGAATGGGTATGTGCACATACATACATACATACGTAATAATCAACTGTAATGAGAGGTAAATACAAACCTTATAGCTCTCTGATCGAGTATATACAAGTTGTGAGATGGAGGCAACAGCAAGTGTTAGGGCAACAGCAAAGCATGAGGGCCAGTGCGAAGTGCGTAAGATCACCCAGTACAATGCCCAGGTAATGGTGCTCATCATTATGTAAATTAATGCATATTGAAACCGAAGAGTAAGTGTTGGTAATGATGACTGTTGGTATTGTCCTTCAAGAATGTCACTGTCAAATCTGAAAAAAAAAATAAAGTTATTAAAGTTGCATGATCTCAATTTGCATTATTTATATTTCACAATGAACATTACTGGTGCTAAAACTGAATCCTGTGGTACTCCACTAGTAACATTTCTCTGGCCTGATATATTGCCTCTGATTACTGCCCTCATTTTTCTGTCAGAAAATGTTTTGTATACTGCCAGAAATCTTCCATTCACATTTTTTTTTTTTTTTTTTTAGGTCCAGATATACGCATTAGCCCAATGCATGTGTGCATGCATGCAATCTAGTGATGTCCTGACTTACCAATTTTATTATATGCAGGAATATGTCAAGGGTGTATTATATACCCATAGTTACTTTGTGGGTATTGTATGGATTTATGAGAATGGTCAAAGGTGTGCATTAGGCAAGAAAGACAAGAAAGACTGAACTAGATCTTATGAAATAATGGCTGCCAGTGTATACAAGAAATATCAATAATTAATAGATACAAAATGAATGTGTATAGGGAATTATTAAAATTTGACAAGTTTAAATACTTTGGATGTAAGACTACCCCTTTGCAGTTGTGAGCATGTTATATGAATGAATAATGAGTGATTAAAAGAGTGCAGGTAAATGTTTTAGGTAACGAAGAGAAAAGCTATAAAAAAAAATCAGAAAATAAATTAGAAATATGGTATTCATGTAAACACAGAAAAGCAATATATTTGTGAATGATTAATAATTATAGTAGCTTTTGTAAACCTGTGTGGAATTCTTTTCTGCCAAACCTACAAAATTATTTAAATACTATAGAGTACTGTACTGTACTTTTTATTCCTATAGACATTTGCTTGTGAGTGGTGGTATTTGTTTTCCCCTGATGTTACTTAATATGAATGGTACTATTAAGTGCCAGATATATTTTATGATTTATGAATTATATTTCTGTATATAATAGATATGAATTATATTTCTGAATATTCTTCAGCCCCTTTTCCTACATTGCCTAGGCAGTAATTTAACGTACGGAAAAATGACTTAGTCACTTTAGAAATGTGGCCAAAACTGCATTATTAGAGTAAATTAACTAGTACTGTAACTAGTAATACCATACCTGGGATCCCACCAGGTAGAGGCAGCTCGCTCAAAAAGCATGGGGCAGCAGGAGTTGCGCCGGTGAGAGGCCAACATGAAGGCATGTAAGTGAGGGGTAAGTGACAGTCTAATAGCTTCTTCCTCCTCCATAACTTCCCGTCCATCCTTCCCTGTTCCCCCTTCTGGACCTCCACTACTGGATACCATTCTGGTAATTAGTTTCTACTGATCATCCAACAAATTTTTCTATAAAGTATCTGCAGTATGTGTTTCTGAAAAAAAAAAATGAATACCTGTACCTCATATATATTAAAATTCTGTAGAAAAGGTATACAAACAATTCTTAGGAACAGCTTTCAGCTAGATCACTGTGTGGCTCATAGAGTGCCTTAAATAAATAAATACTGGGTGAAGTAACTCTTCCCTAAATTCAGATATACAGTACAGTAGATAGCAAGATCGCCAGTCAGTGGACATTGGGGGGGGGGGGGATGTGCACCAGTGCATAGCAAAAAATCTGAACATGTCATATGTAATGTAGTTCCCAAAATATACTGAAATAAGAAATATTGCAATACCTGCCTCCTATCTCCAATACCCTTAAATAGGGTCTCACAGTACAGTTGGTTTTATTCTTGCACCTATCAACTGATTGATTGATAAAGATTAAGCCACCCAAGAGGTGGCACGGGCATGAATAGCCCGTAAATTCGCACCTATCAGTAAATAAGTACTCGGGAGTTGGTCAGCTTGTGGAGTTGAATCCTGGGGAATCAGTAGTTTGACCTTTGGGTTACCTTGATACAAGCCTAGCATACAATATATATACACTGTTTGCCTGTTCCTAAATGCAATAAATTATTATTAATTACATTTCATATTTATAAACTACACAATACTCAAGATTTTAATTATTAAAATATTTTCACCAATAATATAAAACTAAGTTATTAAAAACTTGAGCAATTACCAGGATTGGCAGTGTGTACATAATAATGGTTCCCCTGTGTTGGGAAAAAGAATCCAGTAAAGCTCATTAATGTCTCTCTAGGCCAACAACAGACCTACCATAGGATGCAAACCACAACAGTTGCCAAACTCCTGTGTACCAATTTACTGCTAAACGAACAGAGGCATCAGGTGAAAGGAGACTTGCCCAAATATCTGTCCTACTGCAGGACCTGAACCAGGGAACTTCCAGTTGTGAACTTTCTGCACTGGCCACTTTGCTACAGGACCTTACATTCGCAAGCTTAAGGTAGCAGCACACAACTTACACACCATGGAAGTTACTCTGTACTGTATATATTCTTGCTCCAACTTTATACTGTATAGTACATTCAAATCATTAATGGGCACTTGGTCATAGTTTGTTTTCCCGATTGATAAAATTTTATATTGTATATCATTAGGTTATGCAGTCATCGGGAGGACAAACCCTTCATGCAAACTGCACCTACTATCAAGAAGGTTAGGCCGAGTTTGGTTAGGTTATGTTACAGTATTCGACTCTCATACCAGGAATTAATGAGGGTTACAGGGCTAACACCACCACAAACCAGACACGACGGGCTGATCTTAATGAAACTTTTATAATGTTTAACAATTTGGAGGATGTTGACGCAGACAACTTCAAGGGTCAGATGTAACACAAACAAATAACAATGGTTTCAAGGGGGGTAGAAATAGCCTAAGCTACTCTATCCCTTTGAGATATATTTTTTCTTGTCTCAAACATACTTGAATGGTTTCAAGCTCAACAAACCACAATATAGAACAGAAAACATATGCTTTTTTCACTCGGTTATAAACCCATGGAATAGTCTACCCGCCGAAGCCATTAATGCCAAACCACTGCCGAATTTCAAAATCTGGATCAAGAAAATTATGAGAATAAATGGGAGAGGGGGAGGGCCTTTGACAAGCCACTGGCTTCCAGACCTTGTCAAGGTCACTAGAGAGATAGAAGACCTTAGGTAAACTCGGATAAACTCACGTTGGATTGCGTACAGGCAAGCTGGGTTCGATTTGGTTTTATTACCTGATGGTGAACCATCTTGCGTGCAAAGTTACCTATCTAGGGGCTCGACCACGGCTGTAGAAGTTGTGTGCAGCGGAAATGAGTCTTCCTCACTAGATACTCACTGGATATTGTGAATACTGAAGCAAAACACTTTAAAATTCCTGTGTAAACTTTTACCATGAAGATCTGGCAAAATTTAAGTACAATCAAACTGTATTTAGTAAAGGCTGACACTATAGGGGTGCCGGTAGCAGAGTCCTTGCTGACTATTGCTTTGTTAACAATATGCTTTATCTCAACACACACACACACAATAGTCTGCTAAAACACGGTGAACACTAACCAGAACACCACAACACTTGTTCACTACCACTGTAGAACACTGAACATGAAGTGACCCCCTCGTCCTTCCCACCCAAAGTTACCTAACACGTCACGGATGGCACCAGTGCCAGGCTGTGTAACATGCACATAACACCATTTTTATCTCGCCTGCTTCTGAAAAAAGCGATAAAATGGCAGGAAACGGATAACACACACACACACGCACAGCCAAAGGAAATGGGCTGTCCCTGGCAGTCCAGTGAATGGCACTCCCCTTGTGGCAGTAATGTGGGGGAGGCGCCAAAGGAGGCCAAGATGGCCAGGTGTGCCAGAATGAGAGCCACTCTCACTCACCACACTGTACATGTTCCCCAGGGTGGGTGTAGGAGGCAGGAAACAGGCCCGCGGTTTAGGTGCAGGGCGACCCACAGTCACTACCTGTAGAGGCCATTTTGCACCAACTCGGGTTGACTCGTTTTTACTTATGATGAAATCGCGCGCGCCCTGGCCCACTGTATTATATAATAGCTTACTGTATTATTCTTGTATTATTCGAGGCCGTTTATTTTGCAGGGACATGCTGCTGGTCATGTTTGCACATATTCCTCTGCGGAAAACATAAATATAATAAATAATATTGTACAATAAATTATTGAAGTGCCTGAATGCGTGTAAAACGATATATTTGTTAAAAATTATATAACTATATACAACAAATAATTAATTAACAAACCTGGATACATAACTCTAGTATTGTGCAGCTACCGAGCTCTTTAATTTAAGCTTTATGAGAAGTTAATTACAGAGAGTACGTATGATGGATATTTATATTGTTATTAAATTAATATCTTTAGATGCACTGTATGGGGTCTGCTGCTACTTTATTATATACGTGGGATTGTCCTATGTCAAGAGATAATAAGTTCATATTTCACAACTGTATAATATTCACCGATGTATAATATTCACCGCTGTATGATATTCACTGTTGTATAATATTAAGCACTGTATAATATTCATCGATATATAATATACCCCGCAGTATAATACCGCTGTATAATATTCACCGTTGTATAATATTCACCGCTTTATAATATTCACCAGTGTACAATATTCACCAGTGTACAATATTCACCGTTGTATATCCGCCAAAGCCGTAAATGTCAAAACACTGCTACAATTCGAACTCCACCTAGATAAAATCATCAGGGCAAATAGAGTGCCTTAGACAGCCACCGACGTCCTGTCCTCATCGAGGCCACTAGAGATATAGTGGCCCCTCAGGTAATTTCAGGTAATACCCTAATCTCACGGGCCGGATGGTAGATCATGCATAGGATGTGAGTCTAAGTCTTCTATAGTCTGCACTAGCGAACAGCTTAATTTTGGGTATGAGAATGTCTGTCTGTCTGTCTGTCTGGCTTTCCAAAGTTGGAGGTCAAACGCCTGAGGCTAGCCTTACCCACTTTGCAGGGAAATGGTCTAGAGTACGGGATTGACATAGGCTAGTTGGGGTCGGTCCTATGGGATCTACTAAGAGCAAATAAGGCAAAACAGTGCAGCCTGTTCTCTTACAAAGAACGTCGCATTTCGATCGTATGCGTTACATAAGGAGGAGAACGAGAAGCAACAGGTTCAAGCTCAACAATCCACAATGTAGGACAGAAAAGAGGAGATGCTTTTTCATCCATAGGGTTGTAAACCCGTGCAACCGCCTACCCGCCGAAGTCGAAAACGCTAAAACTAGGCTGGGTTTTAAAATATAGCTGGAAAAGATTATCAGGGCAAATGGGGAGGACCTTTGACGAGCCACCGGTTTCCTGTCCTCGTCAAGGTCACTAGTATTAGTGGCCCTTAGGTAAATATGGACAAAAATTGTCGTACTAGAAAATGGAAGCGGCTTGCGAAAGAGACGTACTGTCCCGTGTTCTGTTTTGGGTCCTCTGATAGGTTAGAGAGGACAGTTTAATTTGACCGTTTTCTTGACGGTGGGAAACCTTAGGACGACGGGCTGAACAGTGAACTTCCCCTCTCTTACGAAATCAGTGAAAGGTGGCTGGCCGAGTCCCTAGATTCCTTCACTTGAAAGTTAAAAAAAAATTATGTACCTAAATGTGTTATTAAAAAAAAAAGCAGTGGTTGCCAGGATCAAGTTGGGTTACCGTTACCTGTGGTAATTGATTACAGGTGACGAATCTCCCAATCCCGAGCGCTCTAACTGCATACTCTGAGCAGGAATTGGGCCATGACCTCACACACTACATCACCGAATGTCCAGCTATTAGACCATGCAAACCCGCCGGCATGAGGTACCTGGAGCTTTGCAACTAAATTCATTTCCCATTCTACATTTGCATTGCCTGCAAATTTGCTAAGGTTGCTGTTCAGTTTAGAGTACACGTGAATGTGCGTAAGGATTTTGTATTTAGTATATTCATGAACGGTTGAGGGCTACAGGACAAACAACACTACAAACCAGAAATGACAGGACTGATCTCATCGAAACTTTCAAAGTACTGAACGAGTTGGAGGATATTAATCCAGACCCCTTCTTTAAAAGATTTAACATAACACATACAAGGGGCAACAGCTTCAAGCTCAACAAGCCACAATGTAGGACAGAACACAGGAGATGATTTGTCACCGACAGGAAACCATCTACCCGCTAACAATCCGCATGACGCATTTTCTCAAATGTGGACACCTTCAAGAGAAAACTATCTAGTTTTCTTCAAGAAATGCCGGACCAACCGAGCTGGGGTGGATGTGTGGACCTACGTGCCGCTCAAAGCAACAGCCTGGTGGACCAAGCTCTCACAAGCTTACTCCCAAAGCCTGACCTCGGGCCGGGCTTGGGGAGTAGAACTCCCAGAACCCCATCCAGGTACATGGGGTCCTGTAGCGTAGTGGTCCATGTCTTCGGCTCACAACCGAGGATTCCGGGTGGTTGGGTGGGGGGGGGGACGTTTCCTTTCATCTGATGACTCTATTCATCTAGCATAAAATAGGTTCAGAGGTCTAAAGCAACTGACATGAGTTGCATCCTTCGGAATGTCAGTATAGTTAGCCTAGAAGGGCACCTTGATAAGACAACACGCTTCCTGTCCTAATGGACAAAGATATAATTAATTAACTCTTAAAGTTAATTTGGCGAAAGTTTGGGAGTGAGAATTTTTAATATGCTCTCAAATGATACCCCGCATTGTGTCCGCTCTGGTCCCCCAACGGACAGGTTATCTTGAGATGATTTCGGGGCTTTAGTGTCCCCGCGGCCCGGTCGTCGACCAGGCCTCCATCCCCAGGAAGCAGCCCGTGACGGCTGACTAACACCTAGGCACCTATTTTACTGCTAGGTAACAAGGGCATAGGGTGAAAGAAAATCTGCCCATTGTTTCTCGCCGGCGTCCGGGATCGAACCCGGAACCACAGAATCACAAGCCCAGTGTGCTGTCCACTCGGCCGACCGGCTCCCCTCACAAGTTAACCACAGTTTTTTAGTTTAGTTCATTTATTATGCATTAAATTATAAATAATTTATTTATTATTATCCTTTAAAGGCAGATTCTTTGGCTAATTCATCAGCTCTATCATGCATTCGGAAACCAACATGAGATAGAGTCCACATGAGATGGACTCTGTTACCATCATTAATAATTTTGTTATAATTGTGTCTAGCTTCAGACACGAGCATGTTACAGTTATGTCTTAAAGAGTTGAGAGCAATTAAGGATGATAAAGTCACTTACAATTAATGTATCAAGTCTGGACACGTACACATTTCAGTGCAAGGAGCAAGGCCAATAATTCTTTCTGAAGGGAAGAGGCCCAGTTGTTTTTGCGGACTCAAAATATAAGCCCTCGCCCATTGTCAGAATAACTGCACTTCCAGCTGCACCCGTGGGGCGGTGTAGGGAACCATCAGTGTATGTGATTTGAGAGAGAGAGAATGCTCTGTGGACAGAGCATCAATACGCCTTAAGGCGTTGAGCTTAGCCTCAAGACGAAGTTTGGGCTGATCTCTAATTTGCTTCTTGGATGGAAAGGGAGGGATTAAAATTGGAAAGGGTGTAATCTACAACGATGCAGGAAAGTGCCGTTGTTGTCTCTCTCTTGGTACAAATGATAAAGCTGATATATACTGAGTTCAGTTCCAGTTTTAGTTATCCATTTGGAACAATGTTGACCTTCAATAAAGAAATTCTGGAGAGCTTCTGTGCAAAGGTTAGGATGAGCTATCACTAAGCATTTTTATACCAATTTGACCGCTAATGTCAGTAACACGACCAACGACGCTTGGAACGTTAAGTTCCTTTCTCAGGTTAAGTATCTTTGTGGTACGAGGACACTCAAGGATTATCCTGAGGGCTCAGTGCGGGGTACTGTGAGAATTGAAGTAGCGGCTCACAAACATCCACGTTTTCTATGCGTTGCTTTGTTAAATTAGATTGCTGTACTGGACACGCGCGTTTTAGTACCCCGAATTTTGCCTGTTGTGGGAACTCAAGAGAGCAGACTGCACTGAGATGAGTTAGAGACTCATAGTCTCTAACACATCGGAATAGCACATCTCTAAGTGCTTCTCAAACGTATTCAAAGTACAAATAATCGCCAACAGAACCAAATCACCTAATATAACCTATGCTAGGCCAAACTATACACAAAATTATTATATAAATTTTATTTTATACTTGAGAATTTTTATTTTGTTACACAATATGTTAAAATTTGTGAATGTATCAGGTGAGGTCGGCCACAACTGGGAGGAGCATAACCTGAGGTTGTGTTGTGATGTATGGTACACCAACACAAATATAAGACATTTAATTCAACACAAACGTAAATTGCGTAGCATAGTCGACTTTATGTTAAGCAAACAACATAATTAATGCGATATCACATACCCGGATCATGACTGTGTGCAGCCAAAATGAGCCACACACATCTTAAAAATGATTTTGGCAGTGTTAGAAAATTAGACAAATGGAATGCATTAGGAAATGCAGTGGTGGAGGCAGACTCCGTGCACAGCTTCAAATGTAAACATGACAGAGTCCATTAGGCTCTGAAATCTCTTCACTAGTTGATTCAAGGGTTGAAAGGAGGGGCTAAAGAGCTCAGGCTCAACCCCTGCTAGCACACTTAGGTGATTATGTCCTTAGAGAGGACGGATCATGCATGAGTCACAATTCGTGGGCTTCATAACCCAAAACTACATAACAGTTGTACACTTTATGATAAAAACACCATATCTGGCACACTCGCGGAGACTGAGGATGT